TGTGAAACTAATTCTAAATGAAAGTTAATTAACTGTATTATCATAATATCAAATCATCTCTAAATGACAAATTATGAATTTATAGGAATTAGAGCAAAACAGTAACATGCAATTTCAGCCAAACAGTTTCAGCATCAGTTTAGGTTTTTTTTAATGCACTTTGCAACTCAAATTGAAAGAGATTAACTCACTAAAGGCAAAGGAATTAAGGATTAGACAATCCTACCTCTTTGAAGCTTGAAAACCCAACTACCAACAATTTAAAGCAACTCCAAGAAGGAATCAAAGCCACCAACTTTGTAAAAATTAAAGAACACCTTTTTTTTTCTTTTCCAAAACCCGCTTCTTTCAAACAGATTTTAAAACCCCAGCAATGAATAAATAATCACAACTTTGATACCAAAATGAAACCCATGATTGTAGGAAACTTTTTCATTCACAAGACTACACAAAATTTCCAACACAAGAGCCTTGGAATTACATGCAAGTGAGATGACAAAAATGAAGGAACAAAAGGGACGATAGTTTTCTTCTGCAGAACTATATTTTGTTTCTATATCTTGTTTTTGTTTCAATGCTAAACACAAGTCATCACTTACACACACAAAATACAACCACATACACCCACACATGTCAAGCCTACAATTAATCAAATGCATGACCAAGCAAAATGACCAAAAAGTCCTTCCATATTTCTAAATGCCAATTATGCCATTTGCATAATAAAAGTCTACTTTGCCCTTTATAAAATAATCAATTACCAAATATTCTATTTGCAAACAAAAAGTCCCTAATGCCCTTTATGACATAAACAAATGACATTTAATTAAATTGAACACATTTGCAAAATAAAATAAAAATGCATGAATGTCAACATGACCAAAAAAAATGATAAAAATACAAGTGCTCACAGATTCTCACACGTGTGGTGATCTTTGTATTACTTTATCATGTAAGTGACCTTGTCAAGAAGTGGGGATGTATGGATCCTCAAAGGGCAACCTGGTGTCGCACATATACTAGTGCATCTAGTTTTCTCATTCTTGACCCTAAGAAGTGGAAAACCCTCCTGAATAATATAATCTCTCAAAATCTCTTTATAATGGTCCACATTGTCAAACAAATGCCCTTGTTTCAACTTAAATTTTCTACCCTCCTCTCTATGAAATGGCTCACCAAACACAACTTGGTCAAGTCTCTTACCCTTTGGCCTTCTCTTTTTTCTCCTACTTTCCTTATCTTTGTTCAATTCAATCACTTCTACACTTGAATCTGAAACAACACCATCATCACCAGACTCATAGTAGGATAAACCATCATCTGAATTCATTTCGCAACCACAATAGAAGAGTCATCAACATTTCCATCATTATCACTATTCTAAGTTGAATTATCATTATCACTACCATTTTTTTCAGCATTTCAATCCTCATCCTCAGTACTGAACCCATATATGTCATCATATTCCTCATCTTCTCCTTTATCATTCTCCTGACCCACGTTCTCATTTAACTCCTCATCTTCCCTTTCTCATGCTCCCCACCCATGTTATCATTAACTTCCTCTTTTTCACCATATTCGTCACCCATATTTTGTTCAACAGGAGACCGAAGCCAATGCATAGAAACTATGTCTAAATTTTCAACTGCAGTAAGTGCTGGAGTCAGTGGCATGTCTAAATTTTTAACTTTTTGAAATTCTACATATAAAATTATATCTCCAACACCACTATAGAAACCAAACATATCTAACAAGTCCTTGTCCCTTTCAACCAACAACCTATCAGTAGACCCTGGTATGTCACAACAAATTTGTAATTTTAACTCATACTCAGGTAGGACCCCCATTTTTTGTGCAGCAGACATAATATCCTCTTCCAAGTCAAACGCGTTGTATCTATCTGGGTCAACATTGCATAACCAAGTGACTTCATCCAACAAATGGACTCTAAGGTCATGTAGGTCAGACATAACTCTGAAAATAACAAACACCAAAGGGATTAAAATATAAAAACATGATTAACTATACAAATTCATCATTAACATGGATTACAAATGAGCCTACAAAATGGATTACTAAAATACAAACAAATAATATAAAAATATTATTTAACGTTGCTATAACATGATTAAATCAACAAAATGATTAATTTGTACAAACTCTAATCCTATAACATGGATTAAAATATACAAACACCTATAACATGGATTAAAATACAGCAAGCATGCAAGGGTTATGATAACATAATACTTAATAGATTTTCTTAGATGCACTAACAATATTGACAAACACTGACACATATACACACACACACACACAGAAACCTATAAATATGCAGATATAGATACAATACATAAAGTGCAACCAGAAAGAAACCAAAGTTATTACTTAAACTTTTAGACCCATGATACGAACCCAGAAAGTGCTACAAGAAAATTTAAACCTTGAGATGAACCCTAAAAACCCAATCTCAAACTCTCAATACAACCCTAAAAACCCAAACTCAAACTCTTAACCCTCAATACGAATCCTAACTAAAAGATAATAAAAATCAAAGAAATTGAGAGAAGACAAGAGAATGTTTAAGCTTCTAGAAAGTAGAAGCCCATGAGTTTAATACTTACTTGACATGGTTTTGGTTTTGGCTACCAAAAACCCTAAATCATCCCCTAACGGGTACGAATAGTTGGTGAAAAGAGAAGAGATGGTAAAAAGAGAAGCAGTCAATGTTTAAGCTTCTAGAAAGTAGAAGCCCATGAGTTTAATACTTACTTGAAATGGTTTTGGTTTTGGCTACCAATAACCCTAAATCATCCCCTAACAGGTGCGAATAGTTGGGTGAAAAGAGAAGAGATGGTAAAAAGAGAAGCAGTCAACGAGTTTAATGGTAGGTGAAATATATATATATATATATATATATATATATATATATATATATATATATATTTTCTGACTTGAAAAGTAATAATAAATTTAGATGGGCATTTTGGTTTTTAAAATTTAAGAATATAAATGTAATTACACAATAATAGTTAACATCATCCAATCTAAAGTTGTGATAGGGGAGGTCCATGTAATTCAACAAATAAGAGGAGAGGTCTGTGTGTGTTGACGAAACTTTAGGGAGGTCAGTGTAATTTATCCTAAAATATATTTGTATCCTCATTTAAAGAAAAGTCATTGACCAAAGTGTCCACATAGCTCATATATATATATACACATGTTTTGCATATATGAAATTACTCCATTATATAAGCTCTTCATCATGGTCCACGGAATTTCTTTCACCAAATTCAGTGCAAATTAATCGAAATTACTCCTCAGTTTGGTTAATGGAAAAACTGAGGAAAAAAATATTTTGAAAGTTATGTAACACTTTCTTAATTTAACTAAACAAGTTGCCAAACCAAAATAAAATAGGATTTTTTTATTATTATTATTTTAAATTCCAAAACATGTAAAAGGTAAATAATAATAATAAACTTTAAAAGAAAGATTATTGTCTTACAATAAATTGGGTACATGCACCTTAAAAATGGCCCTGGAGTGTATTTTTTAGGTCCAACTTCCTGTTTTCCCCTGTCAGGCCCAATCAATAAATCAAACCATCTCCTATCCTCGACCTTTTACCCCGATTGGACCGGAATGATTTAGAGAGGGAGAGAGCAAGTGCAACGATGAGAATGCCAAGGAGGTTGGCGACAGATTGGAAGAAGTTAAAGTCGTCGGTAGCGCTAGCAGCGATGAGAATGCCAACAATGTCGGCGACGACGTCTTTGGGCAGAGGTGCCGACGGATTTGAAGAACACGAAGTCGTTGACAACGTCAACAGCAAGTGAAGCTCTGAAACCAACCCAAAAGCTTCGACCGCAAAAAAGTCCCAAAATATACATAACTTGAGAGAGAAGTGCGAGAGATACTGCACAATGTGTTGTACTACATGTAAAAGTATATTTACAGCAAATAATCATTAAAATAACAAGGATGGAATGGTAAATTCATTACTCTGGTCACCGGATATGAATGTCGATCCTATAGGGGAGGTAAGCGTAATTATTCTAACTAGAGGGATGCAAGTGTAATTTAATATATTTGCAGGGAAGGTAACTATAAATTATCCTTATAATTTTTTAGTTAATAGGGTGTAAGTTACACGTGTACTCCCAACTAATGAAGAATTATAGTCTTAATTTGTATTAAATATGGTTGTACATTAATTAGGGTCTCACATAATAAATACGTGTATATATGAATGGCATATTAAGTAAACATATTGAGATTCAAATCTAAATTTTATAATTTTTCTAGTTAATTTGGTACGTTACAGATGAGCATGCTGTCAAAGTGATTTATCTTTTAACTATATTTATCTTTTGGTATTTAAAGAGGGAGTAAAAAGCATTGACATATAAATTAGTGAGAATGGCCATGAGATCTAATGATAGAACATCACGACTGAACTTACTCCAAATGGGATGATAGGTTAGAAAATTGAACTGTTACTTTATATATATAAGGTAATTTTTCTCAAACTCAAACTTCCAATTTTTCACTTGTTGGCTCAAGCTTTTGTACATCAACTAATAATAGTTACTTGTTGAAGAAAAGTTTCTAGGAATTTTGAAAATAATATTGGAGAAGCTACTAAAAATAGATGGTCTATATGTTTCAATTATTTTAAAACAGTTTCTTAGGAAGTTTGAAAATAAAAACCTAAATCATTTGAGTCATTGGAATCATAGAATATTCTTATTTTCTTTCACATTCCCGTATATGCCACTCAGAGAGGACGAATTGTCTCGCATATTTGTCAAGATGTCAACGGCCGAGATTACCCAAAGCCATGTGAATTGTCCTAAAAGCCCTTGTTGATTGATCAGACGGCCTACCAAAGTAGGTGGGACATTTGTTGTTATCAATAATCACTCTCCACGTGTCCTATAATTAAACTTTACAGGTCACATTAACGGACGACTCGGTTTTGCCGTTAGTTTCATGGTCTAATCTCTATTTCCATCTTCATTCATCTCTGTCTCACCTCTTTTTCTTCTCTTCAAACCAGAGGTTTCAAAATTTCACAAAGAAAATTAGGGTTTCACATTTGCTTTTTTGTTTATGTACTTATATACATATATATATTTATATAAATATATTTATTTTATCTATTTGTAGATTGGAGTTTTTTTTTCCAAGTCGCTGCATTTTTTTTCGTTAATCAGGTATTCACAATCGATTGCAAAGTTTATAGAGATGAATGTAATAGCTCTTTATTTCACTCTCGAAGTCTATGAGAATTGTAGATTTTGAGGGTATTTATGGGTCAAAGTGAAGGATTTTAGTATTTATTTTTGTCAATTTCATCTTGAAAATGGCGTCGTCTTCGGGATTGTCGTATTGGTGTTTCAGATGCAACAGGTTGGTTCGGGTTCGGAGCCGTGAAAGGATTTCTTGTCCCCATTGCGGTAGTGGTTTCGTGGAGGAAGTCGGTTCCCGCCATCGATCTAATCGTCGTCGTCCCCCTCGATCTTCGGCTGCTTCCGAAACCCATTCAGAATCTTCGATTTCGGGTCGTAGTTCTGTTGAGAGGGCTAGGAGAAATGCTGTTTATAATCCGATTATTCTACTCCGTGATGATGGTGGAGGAGAAGATGGTGGCGGTGAAAGGGTTAACTACGAGCTGTATTATGAGGAAGGTGACGGTTCGGGTCTTCGTCCATTGCCGGAGAGCACGTGGGAGTTTCTGATGGGATCTGGATTCGACCGCCTTCTTGACCATTTGGCTCAGCTGGAAGCTAATGGTATTGGGCTGTTTGATCAAGCTTCAGCATCGAAGGCTGCTATTGAGTCACTGCCCACAATCAGGATTGGTAAAAAACAAATTGTGACCGAATCGCATTGTGCAGTTTGCAAAGAACCGTTTGAGCTTGACTCAGAAGCTCGTGAAATGCCCTGCAAACACCTTTATCATTCGGATTGCATTTTGCCTTGGCTTTCCTTGAGGAATTCTTGCCCGGTTTGTCGACATGAATTGCCTGCAGATGTTCAGGATAATGGCGGAGACTTGTCAGAAACAGAGCAGGGTTCAAATGGACTGATGATATGGAGATTACCAGGTGGTGGGTTCGCAATTGGCAGGTTTTCGGGCAGGGGAGATGAGGAACGTGAGCTCCCTGTTGTTTACACGGAAATGGATGGTGGGTTCAATCGTGGTGGCTCTTCCAATGATGGTGGTGCTCCCAGGAGTGTTGCATGGGAAAGAAGCAGAGGAAGAGAGAGGAGCCGAGTGAGTCGTGCCTTTCGCAATTTCTTCTCAATGTTCAGAAGGTTAAGATTTTCATCCTCTCGTTTTAGTTTGGAAATTGGATTTAGGCGAAGCCGCTCCCATTCTAGTCTTAATAGGTTCTCAAGAAGGCGCAATCGTCATTAAGGTATGGAAAGTAACAGAGCTACAAGATGGTGATTCTTGTATATAGTTGATTTAATGATAGTGCCAATCATCTTGATGAGGAAGGGAACCTATATTGTTTGTTTAATGTATATAACAATCCATTGGAAAGAAATATTTGAAAACTTCTCCAATTGTAAATTCTGTTCCTAGATAAGTACTTGGTATTTGTCATGGGGAAGGAGGAGTAAGATCATACATGAAGAGGGTGGCCTTTGCATATTATGGAGGTACCGACCATCACTTGCACCACTGTGTCTGCATCGATGCTTGAGTTTAAAGGTTACATCAATGAACTTGTTGGAATAATAAATTCTTGCCTTTTCTCTTTTGTGCAACTCGTTTATTGCAGCTGAATATAGCAATATTTTCGATTGTTCATTCCGTTTGACATGATTGTTGCCTCTACTTAGTGGCTCTTGTGCTTGTTGGAAGTGTTCAATTGACAACACCAGTCTTTCAGTTGATCTTCTATGTTTCATTTTTTTTTTTCCTTTTTCTTTTTTAACCATTTAAATCGGTCTTTCAGTAATGAATTTATATTTGTGATTGCCCACTTTCAGTAGTTGGAGAATGCAGATAACATATGAACACCGAATAATTTGCTGAACTTGTTTCTTGAATATTGTGGTCCAAACTAAAATACTGGACTGGTTATACTCAGGGCCATTGCTTGTGGAGACACCTTTAAGTAATTCACCATGTCAAAAGTTTTCTAGCCCTTTTGAGGTTTTCTTGGCTTTCAGTTCCATTACTTATTTACTTCCACTCTGTACCACGAAGAGCTTCAATTATTCGACTTATACTATTATGTTAGTGTACGGTGTTTTGGAGTATTCCCCTTCAAATGTCAACTATACAGAATGATGGAGTTTTCTGGAGACTCTAGGTAAAGATCCCTTGTATCCTCAAGAATATTCTCCCGAGTGAAGGGAGAAGAAGAAGATGAAGAAAAGCACAAAGTTATGCAGCTTCAGAAGTCATGAAGGTATGAATCGTATGATCCTTCTTCCCACTACTTGTTTGAACACTCTGCTTGGCATTTTTACCTCATATGTTTTTCTTTTAGCTGCAGTTGGGTATCTTTACACTTATTTTCATAGTTGATTGATCTCATGTAAATTGGCCCTTTGCCCATGTGGTGCACATTTAATGTTTAAAGGAAGGGGAACACCAAAATTAACTTGGATTGAGTTTGCAAGGAAAAATATGATAGCTCAAGGTTGAAATGAAATTCTGACTTCAAATAGAGCAAAATGATGGAACGTGCTTCATATAGCCAACCAAGATACTTAGAACAAGGCTTTATTGAGTTGAGTGATTGTTGGTTAGGGCACTGGACCATGGGATGTTATACATTTGGCCATGTTTATCTCTAAATGCATAGGTTGAAATATGAAAATTCAGTATGAAATTCGGCAGCGATGAGGCTGCCTATTGATTAGATTAAACTGACTAGATCATTGAGACAACTATTATTAGTCAATTATAATAGATTCCCATGAATGCCATGTTGATTTTCCATGTTGCCAGTCAATCTCTTTCAACGCCTCATTTTATGCTGTAAGGTGAGTGTTTTGGATTTTCAGCAGGAAGCCAGATGAGAGTTTAAAATGAAAGTGATGTGGATATTGTGGACATGTAGGTTAGGATATGGCTTTGGCTGAGTCAGTATTTCTGTGGGGACCATCCTTATCTTGACAACCACAAGAATCTTGAGTTGTGACGTGGCCTTATCCAGTAATATCATGCATATCGTGGACAGTAGATACTCGCAAAAGTGTGCTACAAATCTGCGGCTGTGTAATATTTTACATCTAACAGAGAAACTAAACTAATTAGAAGTTGAACAAAATGGCATCCGTAGCTCATCTACAGACCTTATTTTCTACGAATTCACCAAAGCAAGCAGCATCAACTGGTGTTCCCTCTCTCTCCAGCAGATCAACATTCTTGGGTTCAAAAGTTGAATGTTGGAACAGGATTGAGAAGAAGAAAAGGCATAGATCTTTGAGTGTGGTTGCTGCCATTGGAGATGTATCAGCAGATGGCACCATCTATTTGATTGCTGGCGCAGCCGCGGTGGCTCTGCTAGGAACCGCCTTCCCTATCCTCTTCTCTCGCAAGGACCTGTAATTTCTGTTCCATCTTGCTTTTGCATTGGAATCTCGTATTTATGATAATTTTGCTTCATGGATAATCATTTTTGACTTTTATCTTTGCAGGTGTCCTGAATGTGATGGTGCAGGTTTTGTGAGGAAATCGGGGGTTACCCTGAGGGCTAATGCTGCTCGGAAGGACCAGACTCAGATAGTTTGTGCTCGTTGCAGTGGCCTCGGCAAGCTCAATCAAATCGATAAATAGACAATCTTACACTATTCAACGTCTTCCTGATATGTGAAATCTAGACCCCAACACTCCCCTCCAATGCTGTACTGCACTCTCCTCCTCAAGCATCACTGCTGTTTTTTTCCTTTGATCACTGGACTTGGAAACTGTATTTACGTGCTAATGAAGTGTTGTTACTGTTGTCCCAATTTCAGGATGCTGCATATTTGTTGTGTTATTTTTGCTGATAAATTATTACTCATTAGTGACAATAATGCTATGTTTGGTGTATAGAATTCGCACTTTGAATTTAAAATTTGGGATCGAAAAAATTTAGTATAAAATTTGAACCAAATTTCTTCTATTCCTAAATCCAAGGTACTAATTTGGTACTACCAAATATTTCATAAATGAATTTGTATAAATTATTCGGTAAATTTGCATCAAATTTGTTCACCACTATGCAAAAAATGACAAATCTACCCTCACTCTTTTGGAAGTTACAAACAGCTGCACACCATTTGATTGGGAGAGGAAGTAATACATGATTTCAGACTTGTTAATCTATACCTCTGGGACATTTGAATAGCTTCTTTTTATAAGTCGATTACCCTGTATGATTAAAAATTGTATAGCAATGAACAATTTTTTTTGGATAATCAAAAATTGTTTCGAAGAAAATAAAATATTATATATATATATATATATATATATATATATATATATATATATATATATATATATATATACTCACAGGTGAACTTATAGTTCTCTGTCATCCTTGATCATGACATGTAAAAGATAATCTTGTATCTTCAGACCATTCGCGATTAATGAGAAACACTCCAAGCAAACATATTTGTTTCAGAATTTAAGAGTCGTCTTTGAATCCTTCAAATTTTCGGAATCATTATTACATGGTTACAGGATCACTGGTCTCATAATCAAACCAAAATTTTCACGCTTAACAACCTAATTTTTTTCTTCATCCTATGTAATAAGAATGGTTATTACCCATTGTGGGGGCAAAAATCTTCCCTTCCAATTAAGACAAGACACATCAGCACATAAGGAGACCAACACAAATATTGAGATTATTCAATCTTCAAATACCTCTACAAGAAGCTTGGGCCGGGTTAACTAAGTATAGTGAGTTGAACTCATTAAGAAGACCCAAGATGATGAGACCCCAAGCCCAATTACAAATATATTACTAAGCCCATTTTTAGTAACAGATCTATTATTAGAAGGATTATAATCTATGGAAACCAAATAATGTAAATCCTTATTATAAGGATAGTATAATGTGATTCAGATTCTTGAGGACAAGCAATGCGAGTCCTAAAAGGACTCGACTAGGGTTTTTCTTATATAAAAAGGGGTAAGGACCCTCAATAGAGGACAGACAGAAAAAAAAGGCAAAGCCCCCAAAAAAGAGATCCAATTCTTATCGCCAGAACTACGTTCCGACCTGATTCCCATACTCTATGAGGCGGGATACATAGGCAATCTAGGTAATCCTAGGTTCGGTCATATCATCAAAATACCCCCTAATCTCTATACAATTTCTCTAGTTCGATATTTTTTCTCCATTATTATTTTAGGTGTAGTAATTGTAGAGATTTTTTGACTTGTCAAAGTCGAACGAATTTTTACACTTACACTTTGGCGCCGTCTGTGGGAATCAGAGAAGCACGAAAGTCAAAGTACTTTAAGTTAAAATCTCCAAGTCCCAATTCCAGGAACGTATCTAGCTACGTGACGAAGTCGAGCACAACAAAAGTAGAACCACGCGTTTGGATGAAGGACAACAAACCGAAGGCTAATCACCAAAGGAATATTCCCAGACAATTTTGCAAGCAAATATTCAAAGGACTTAAAAGGTATTCCAATAGTTTAATCTTCAATCAAGGTACGATCGCCTCTTTAATTAATATATTCTTCTCAAATTCTATTATTGAATCAAAACCCAAAAGCCATGATTAGAGTCAATGTTTTTCTTGTAGAAATTAAGAGGATGGTAAATCTATAGAATTTATATACGCATATTGGGTCGTTGATTTTATGCAAAAGTTGATCCACAAAATTATATATCAAAATCTTAGTTTACCTGAATTATTTTATTTGATATTAATCATGATCCTTAGAGCAGTGGAATATTTAAAGATCTGAAACTGAAGCTGTGAAGCATAAATATTTTGTCTGGATTTTCAAAATAGAGACAAAAAAAAAAAAAAAAAAAAAAAAAAGACTTCTCTGTATAACTCAAAAGTTGTTACAGAGCGTCCGCTAATACTAATAAGAGCGTATTAGGAACTTGTTCGGTACCCAGATTGACTTTTGATAATAGGTCTTGCGCACCTGCTTTATCCGCTTGCCTATACATACCTAACTTCTGTTACCAATCAACCTAAATCTAGGCTATATTGATAGTAAATACTTATTTCAATAGCAGGAATTAGTTGATTTTTTGTCTCAAAACGCAGATGTGTTTGCATGGAGTCACCTAGACATGCCAGGAATCGATCCTTCTGTATCTTGTCACTCGTTGAACGTTAACCCCAATGCAAAACCTGTAAAGCAGAAGCAGTGACGGTTTGCCTCCGAGCGCAACCGAATTATTACCGAGGAGGTTGACAAGCTACTTGATGCGGGGTTTGTAAGAGAAGTGTACTACCCTGACTGGTTATCGAATGTGGTCGTTGTGCAGAAGAAAAATGGGAAATGGCGCGTATACATTGATTTCACCAATTTAAACAAAGCCTGTCCGAAAGATAGTTTCCCGCTGCCAAAGATTGATCAGATGGTGGATGCAACTACTGGATATGAACGCTTGACCTTTTTAGATGCTTATTCAGGTTATAATCAGATCCCTATGGACCCCGTTGATGAAGAAAAAACTTCTTTCGTTACCGAACGCGGGACGTATTGCTATAAAGTTATGCCATTCGGACTGAAGAACGCCGGAGCAACTTACCAAAGACTTATTAGCAAAATTTTTAAGGAACAAATAGGGAAGACAGTGGAAGCTTACATTGATGACATGGTGGTAAAAAGTAAGAAGAAAGCTGATCATGTGAAGCATCTGCGAGACGTGTTTGATGTGTTGAGGCGATATGGAATGAAGCTCAATCCGACCAAGTGCTCATTCGGTGTAAGTTCAGGCCAATTCTTAGGGCACGTGGTTAATCTCAGAGGCATCGAGGCAAGCCCTGCCCAAGCCGATGCTCTGACTAAGAATGCCGAGCCGACGACAGTCAAAGAAGTGCAAACACTTACGGGACGGATTGCTGCACTGAGCCGGTTCATTTTCCAAATTGTCAGATCGATGCAAACCATTTTTTGACACAATACGAAGCCACGGCAGGCAGGTTTGGGGGGATGAACAGCGCCTAGCGTTAACTGCTCTGAAAAAGTATATGCAGAACCTTCCGGTACTGTTAGCTCCAAAATTGGGCGAAAAGCTGCTTTTATATCTCGGAGTATCCAGCATCGCGATAAGTGGCATTCTGATCCGCTACGCAGAAGGGAAGCATTATCCAGTGTTCTTTGTTAGCAAGACAATGACAGAGGCCGAAAGACGTTATTCAAAGGCAGAGCGGGTGATACTCTCGCTAGTGCATGTGAAAAGAAAGCTCAGGCATTATTTTGACTCCCATCCTATTATCGTTCTAACTACTTTCCTTATCAGAATAATCCTGCACAAACCAGATCTCTCAGGAAGAATGACGAAATGGGCCATAGAGTTAAGCTCATTTGATATCACATACGAACCTAGAACAGCAGTCAAAGGCCAAGCGGTGGCAGATTTTTTACTAGAATATGATTCAGAGGACGTGGAGGAGGATCTCCGTGGTTGCTCATGGAAACTCTTCGTTGATGGATCCTCAAATCAGATGGGTGCAGGCATTGGGATCAAACTGCAGACGCCAGAAGGTACAGCCTTAAGCCAAACGCTTCGGCTTGAATTCGGAGCCACGAACAATGAGGCAGAGTATGAAGCGTTGCTGGCAGGAATTAAGCTTGCCAAGGAGCTTAAGGTCAGGAATTTGAATGTTTTTAGTGACTCACAGTTAATTGTTCGGCAGGTGAGAGGTGAGTATGAAACCAAGGATGAAACAATGGAAGCATATCGTTCTGCTATTATGCGGGAGGCCAAAAACTTTGAAAAAATTGAATTTATTCAAATTCCAAGGGAGTATAACGAAAATGCCGACCGGCTAGCATGTAGTGCCTCGGGTTCTGGAGAAACATTGGCAAGGGTGATTCCAGTGGGAATATTAAACCAGCCATCCATTTTCGAAGAACCTTCAGGCTCGGATCCTTGGCAAGTGAATGTTATTCCATATGAGCCAAGCTGGATTGATCCGATCGTAACTTACATCTGAGATGGTACTCTGCCTGAGCAAAGAGATGAGGCTAGGAAAATCAAAGCGAATGCTGCGAAGTACGCTGTAGTGCATAACCAGTTGTACAGAAGATCTTTTTCCGGACCGTACTTAAAATGTGTTACCCCCACAGAGGCTCGGCAAATACTACGAGCTATTCACAAAGGTGTATGTGGAAACCACTCAGGGGGGAGATCTTTAGCGCACAAGGCAATGGCGCAAGGGTACTTCTGGCCGAACAAGTCGCGAGACTCGGAAGAATTGTCCAGAAGGTGCGATAAGTGCCAAAGGTTCGGACCACTGATGCACCAACCACCTGAAGACTTGCACGTAATGGCCACACCATGGCCTTTCGCACAGTGGGGGATGGATGTAGTTGGTCCTCTACCAACTGCCAGAGCTCAGAACAAGTATGTGCTGCTGGCTACAGATTATTTTACTAAGTGGGTGGAAGTAGAGCCATATCCGAGCGTTACTCAAACTCATGTGAGACGATTCATTTGGAGTAATATTATTTGCCAGTTTGGTGTTCCGAGGTTAATCGTCATGGATAATGGGACCAACCTTGACAGTAAGCAAGTAAAAGAGCTGTTGGAGGAATATGGAATTAATCAAAAGCTGGCGGCAGTAAGTCACCTACAAGCCAATGGACAGGCGGAAATTACAAATAGAACAATCTTTACTTGTATCAAGAATAAGCTAGAAGAAAAGAAAGGAAGGTGGTTAGATGAATTGCCGAACGTCCTATGGGCCTACAAAACGACCCCAAGACGACCGACAGGAGAAAACCCATTCACCATGGCGTATGGTACCAAGACAGTTATACTAGTCGAGCACTTAGTGCCGACTGTTCGAAGCTTGGCATGGAGCCGTGAGCATAATGACAGTATGTTAAGGTTTAACCTCGATTTGCTGGAAGAAAAAAGAGATGCAGCAGCGGTAAGGCTCGCATCCTACCAGCAGACGCTTGCGAACAGCCATAACAAGAAAGTAAAGCACAGAGACTTTAGACCAGGTGATCTGGTTCTGAAAAAGAAGGTGGGGATAGTCAAAAAGATGATGCCACCATGGGAAGGCCCATACAGAATTGTAGAAGCCATAAGGGGGCATATACCTTAGAAACCATAGTCGGAAGGCTGGTTAACAAATCTTGGAATGCTACTTCTCTGAAGAGGTATTATCAATAAAAAGTTGAGATTCAATACTTAATTTTGTTCATTTTCAATTGAACACAGTCGAATGTACAAGTTTCTGAGATTTATAAAGATTATGTTCCTCTTTAAAAGGTTGAGCAAAGTAAGTGGCAACTGGCACTATGAGCCGAACGCCAAACACTTGCTAAGAAAAAAAAGAGAGGGCCAAGTGGCAAGTGGCATTTTAGCCAAACACTTGCCAAAAAAAAAAAAAAAAGGGCCAAGTGGCATTCTAACCGAGCGCCAGGCGCCTGAGCAAAGTGTAACGACCCACTCCACCACATGGTATGATATTGTCCGCTTTGGGCCTGAGCCCGCACGGTTTTGCTCTTGGTCTTCACCCCAAAAGGCCTCATACCAATTGGAGGTGACACACTTACATATAAGCACTTTACCTTTCCTCTACCCAGGTGATGTGGGACTGTGCACCGCACCCGTAGCTCGCCAGTGTGGTAGCCTGACAGTGTCTCTCGCACCTGCCCACGGCACACCCGCCCACAGGGTCATCACAATCCACCCCCCTTGGAGGCCCGACATCCCCGTCGGCACACTTCCGGCTGGGTTAGGCTCTGATACCATTTGTAACTACCAGCTCTACCACATGGTATGATATTGTCCGCTTTGGGCCTGCGCCCGCACGGTTTTGTTCTTGGGCTTTACCCCAAAAGGCCTCGATATATATATATATATATTTTAAATATAATATTTATTTAATTATATACATAAGGGTATTTTAATAAAAATAGTAGCTGATGTCATCCATTTCCGTAGTTGACTGGCATTGACCGTAACGAAAGGGAGGTCCAAATATCCATATAGGATATTTTCAAAAGTAAGAGAAATCCGCGTAATTTTCAAAATGAGAGAGATACTACCTGTAATTATAACAAACTATAGGTGACATCTGTGTACCCCAACCTATTAATACCTATTTCTCTTTTGGTTGGGATGACTCTGGAAACAGCTGGCAGTGAACGGCCACGTCAGCCCTCTTTATGAAAAAAATAAATAAATGTAAAGAGACGTACGTTTGCCGGATTCCCTAAGCAGAGAACATATATACACTCTGTCATATATGGTACCAGAGGTGGCGCGAATCCGGTGTGGTCTACAATGAGCTACTGTTCCTCCCTCCCTCCCTCCCTCTCTCTCTCTCTTTTTCCCGTTTTTTCCGTTTCACGTTAATCTCATGATATATTATTTAATTTGCTTCATCCTTAATTTGACCACGTACACTTGAACAAGGTTGCTTCTCTCTAGCCTTTCTTTTGTTTTGGCTTCACAGAAAGCCTCAAAAATACGAGTTGTACATGAATATGTGTTTGTGTGTATAGAGAGATATAGGATCAAATGGGTTTGGAGATGAAGCTGGATGAGGAATATGGGCTGGATCGCAGGATCGGGTTCGAAACGGACGATGAAGAGAACCAGGCCGAAAGAGCATATCAGAATGATGACAACGACGACACGGATTCCGATATTGTGCTTCCATCACGAAATGCATCCATTGATCTGAACAGCCCGTCGTGGCCTCAAACCTACAGGTACTTCTTTCATTAATCCATGTCAAGTTTAAGTTGTCTTTCCTATATATACAGCGCGCTCTGGTGCATGGATTTTAATTTTTCATGCACGCAGGTGTTTGATATATATACACACACAATTGAACAAGCAAACACGCACACACAATATTCAATATTGCCCTTAGCAGCACTCAAGATCATACCATCTGGGCATCTGGGCATCTGGGCTAGTGCAATATTTGATCAATATTGCAACAATTGAAGGGTGTAAAAAGTGTGTGTGTGTTTACAGCTTCATGTCAGATATTCCTAATTAAATCCCAACTTTTTTTATTGCCTGCAAGAATTGTTTTTAGATTGTAGTCTTGTATAATAATAGTGTATCCAGTTTACATTTCAAAAATTCGTTTGGTTGATAGATTTCTGATCGAATATTCCCTTTTGGTTTTTCTAAAACTTTTCTAATTATAGAGTTTTTGAAAATTATTTTCAAAGAACTAAACCAAACAGGCATGTATCATGATTTAATGTCATTAGTCAATACTCATTGGTGTAGACATGATGAGAGCTTATTAATACATTTGTATATATTAAGGAAGAATTTCACCAGAGCTGAGGCATTAGACCTACAGAAGGTGTTTGTGGTGTGGGTGGAAGTAGAAATGTACTAATTAAGATGAATGCTAGGCAAACAAATGAGCCATCCTCCAATGAGTTGCTATATACATCTACGCATTTATATTGCTGTAGTCGCTTCTTGAATCTGGACGTTGCAGTGCACTGCAGAGGATTTTAGTTCTTAAATACCACTTTAGTAGAAACTGTAAGAGTCTAGGTCCTTGTTGACATTTGTTTCACCACCAATTGTTTGTGTAAATGCTAAAACAGAAAATTGTTGAGGCTTATTGTTTTGAAAGCAATGATTTTCTTTTATCTTGTAGATGCAAGAGCATTATCCAAATTCTAAGCAATCAGTTATTATTAATTGTAAGAACCGAGTTTAATTCTAAGCAATCAGTTATTAATTAGAAGAACCAAGTTTACCTGTTTCTGATGTTCAAAGCAAGTGCTTTAGCTTTAGACACCAGATATTAGGTTCAAAATCAGTAGTATTTAGACTTTTCTGGAACAGAAAGAAAGGCACAATAAGATTTAAAAATTGTCCCTAAATTTTCTTCTTTTGTTTTTTCAATATATGCAGGAAGTCAATGGACATGTACACAAGTGTGACCCCTCCTCCCTCTCTCAGCTTCCTAACAGGGACAAGTTTCAAAAAAATAAGCGACTCATTCTTGACTTCACCATACAAGAGATCTCATCCCACCTTGCCCGACTCTTCCTTTAACAAACCCCTTATTACTGCAACAAGCTTAGACAACGAAGAGGTGCCCCCCTCAACATTGCCTTCAAAGTTATCTACATCTTCCTACTCAAGTCTCTCTTTCAATGAATTGCCGTCACCACAGCAGTGTTCGTATGCCCAATCTGTCCTTAATGGTAAAAACTACACACATTCTTCCGCTAACGTTTTATTGATTTATATATTGGCATGTGTCCAAACCTTTTTTTTGTCTGTCAATCAATAAGTTGATAATGATTCCCCCATAACTTGAGCTTCCAAGGGACGCCTTATCTCTCAATGTTGAACCACTAAAAGCCCCATTGCAACCCTTGATCTTTGGTCTGAGAATTTGATATTACTAGCCATTCTCCAACATGAAATTTGAATTTGGGGTTTTCTTACATTTTGAAAAATGCTTCCAGGATGTTACTGTTATTATTGTTATTTCTTTTAGTTGCTTTTGGATGTTCTCTTTCTATCTACCCTTGTATATTTGAGATCTTTCTTTGCCTTCAAATGCAGCAATAAATGTTCTATGCGGAATAGGACTCCTCACAACTCCTTATGCACTCAAAGAAGGAGGGTGGTCGAGCCTCTTGCTTCTCTTTGTCATGGGTATCATATGTTGCTATACTGGGATTTTGTTGAAGCAGTGTTTAGATAGCTCCCCTGAACTCAAAACTTACCCAGATATTGGGCAGGCTGCTTTTGGGGTCACTGGTCGCATATTAATAGCTGTAAGTCCCCTACAAGTATCAAATGTTTTTATATATAACAATATACCAAGGCTGACACAGGTATTGGTTTATTACAGATAATCTTATACATGGATTTATATGTAAGTGCAAATTCTATTCCCTTATTGATTGATAATAGTAATCTTTTTTGTGTTTTTACCCCTGATTTTGGTTGGCACTAAAAACTGAATTACTCTTCTGTGTAGTCTACCTGTGTGGAGTTCTTAATTATGATGAGCGATAATCTGTCGGCTTTATTCCCAGACACCCACATGGATTTTGCGGGATTTCATCTTGATTCTCATCAAATCTTTGCAATTACAGCCACTCTTATAATTATTCCAACTGTTTGGCTCCAAGACCTTAGTCTGCTCTCGTATGTTTCAGGTTTCCAATCCTACATCCCCTTTCCACTTTCTTCACATGCATGTATTACTAAAGTTGCACATTTAAGCTACAGCAGCTAATCTTGAATCATTTGTGTTTAGCTGGAGGAATAGTTACATCAGTGCTGTTAGTGCTTTGCTTGTTGTGGAGTGGGGTCATTGACAAAATTGGGTTTCATCCCAGCGGAACTGCTTTGAACCTTGCAGGCCTTCCTGTCACAGTCGGTTTATTTGGTTTTTGCTTTGGCAGCCATTCTGTTTTTCCGAATATCTATTCTTCCATGAAGCAACCATCAAAATTTCCATCTGTTCTAATAATCAGGTGATTAATTCATTTCAAGCAAATTCATTGAAATTATTCTTAAACTTGTCACAATTATTCCTTTATCGTGGTAAATTAAATATTACACATGAAATATGAATGATATTATGAAAAATTATGAGAATTTCATGGATTTCCTTTAAAATGAGGACCAGATATTTTATCTGCCTAATATTGGTTTACTCTTGTGCAGCTTTGTTGCATCTGTGCTAATCTATGCCGGGGTAGCAATATGCGGCTTTCTGATGTTTGGTGACTCGACTGAATCTCAGTACACTTTAAACATGCCTAAAAAATTTGTTGCCTCTAAAATTGCAGCATGGACTACGGTACGGACAACATTTTAATCAAGTTGTAGGTGTCCTTTTGCTTGGTCTCACTGCATTTCGTTAGACTGAAAGAACAGCTTATGTCATAAAACCAAATATGCAACTCTATACTGATATATATTAGCCCGGACTAGCAGTAATATGATGCACTAAATATATCCTATTTTGCGTTTTAGGTTCTGTGCCCATTTACAAAGTATGCCTTGACAATCACTCCTGTAGCATTCAGTATAGAGGAGCTCTTGCCTTTGGCTCAGCAGAGATCTTACAGTGTATCAATAATTATCAGAACGGTTTTAGTTATTTCAACTTTAGTGGTGGCATTATCAGTACCATACTTCGGTATGAACCTCCACTTCATATGCTCACTGACTGTAAATGTTTATTAGCTGCCAATATTTCTATGGCCCTAAAAGGGAAATAAACATAACATAAACAAAATGAAATGGACAATTATTTTCATATTTTGTCCGCTAAACTGTTCTCTCTCTTTTTTTTTGGCTTTAGAATCTGTGACGGCATTGATTGGATCTTTACTTGTCATGCTTGTAGTAAGTTTTTCATCAATATTTACCCTTCAATTCAATGTCCAGTCATGTATGCAGTAACACAATATGTTCTGAATTAACTTTGCTGCTTGATGTTTTTTATAGAGTATTATCTTACCGGCCGCATGCTATCTCACCATACTCCATGGTAGATTATCAAAGATGCAGGTAAAAATTTTCTTCTCCTTCACTATCATTATATCAATACCACTGCACTATCCCCCCCCCCCCCCCCCACACACACACACACACACCACAGTTTAAGCTCTCACACATTCACTTTCTCCCTATTGGGACTTGAACATTCGATTTCCTACATTAGAAGATGAGAAAGTACCACTTGACTACGTCCCTTGGTGGTAGAGTGTATGCATTGTTTGCCACGGGAAAAAAAATTATTCTTGTTTTTCTTGTAGGTTGCAGTTTGCATTTTTATTGTCATTGCGGGGGTGTTATGTGCTATTGTTGGCACATATTCAGCAATTGCAAGCATAGCTGATAAGATGGGCTGAGGAGAGTATTAAGGCAGGCCTATCTCTACTTCAAATATCATTTTTTGTAACCACCAAAGCATGAGCAAAGCAGCAGCAAACTATGTTCTATAGAAAAATATACTGGACAGTAGAAGAAATATAGTTGAAAGCATTAAGGAAATGGCTATTTTTAAATTTTTTTGAGCAAAAGCTCCTAGAGAGGATGAGCAACCATAGACTCTTGTTTATTTGTAATACACCATTCATGTGGTATAAATTTTTTTTTTTTAGTCCTTTTCAGGTCTACAATTTCCTCCATAAAACCCTCTTCTCTGATACTTCTTTTCTTTTTCTTTTATTATCATTTAAAATTTATCTTTTTGTTTCGATTGTAATTGTAGTATTCTACTGGAGAGAACTTTTTCTCAAGTATGATACATGAATCATGTTTTTCCTTTCACTCAAAGGCCATAATCTCAGTCAATTTTGAATTTTATGTTGATTTATTACTAATATCAAATTGAGTTTGTAACATAAAATACTAAGCAGACTGAGACTGCCTGAATTCTTATTGTAATTATAGTGTAGTAAAATATTGTTATTGTAATTATAGTGTAGTAAAATATACTCAATATAAGTTTAAACCGGCAAGTTTACTGTGCATCTAATGCACATTGGACTAGTTCGAAACCGAAAACAATCTCTCTATTTGGAAATAAGACTGCGTACATTTAACACTCTTCAAACTCTACGATAGTGAAAACCTTGTGCACTAGGATAGCCCTTTAACAATTGACAGGTGGACAAGTGTCCTTAGCATTTCACTCGGCTTCCAACAGTGGAATGGGTGTCCTCTACCAGAGCCATCCTTTGCAATGGCCCCAATCATGGACCTGTGTCTATTCCTTGTTCCAACATAACATGTGCAACCATCTGAAGACACCTTTTGTTTTTTTTTGGAGCCCTAAGCTATATGGACCTAATCAAGTCATGAAAGATCTAGTGCAGGTCATCTTAGGTACGGAGTCGTCCATGTGATCTAAAGGGCCATTAATACAAGGTTTATATAATAAGGTTAAAAAAGAATTAAATCCCTCTAATATAGTCAGAGAAAGATAGCCTAATAACTCAAATCCTGTATCTTCATGATTTTTATATTTTTATTTTTTATTTTTTATTTGTTTTTGACAGAAATGAATTTTTTATGATTACACCAAGAAGGATTAAAGGCAGGACACTGAAGAGTTTGGTGACCAACATTTTTTAAATTGGCATTTAGAATTTGATATGATGATGACCCTCAATCCAGAGTCTATATAAGGAAACTAATTAACCGGCCAATTAATCTAGTTGGTTGGTTAATGAATTCTAGCTTTACTGGGATTAGACAGCTAACAAGAAAGTGGTTCACAGATTTGAAGGCTTTATTGATGATTTGTTTGTTTCTCAAACTCTGTAAATTCAAGGCTATAACATAACTGCCAAATCTTCCCATAATTGGTAACTCTAGATCACAATATATATTTATACATAGAACGTAACAGAGGGTGCCCTCGTCTGCAGGTACATAAACGTTCTATGTTCTTCTGCAAGAGAGAAAGGCTGAGCATTTAAGTATCCATGGGCATTTTATTTGAGATATAGCTTCTGCGTAACAATTTTCACTTTCTAGGAAAAAAAGAAAAGAAAAGGAGTGGTGCATTCAAGTAGAGTGGAACAAAATGTGTGCACCTTTCTTACTTGCCAACAAAATAAACAAAAAAAATAAAAGCAAAAAAAAATTTCCGATAATATTCACTTTCTAGGAGAGAAAAAAACAAAAAAAGAAAAAAAGAAAAAGGGGGTGGTGCATTCAAGTAGAGGGGAACAAAATGTGTGCACGTTTCTTACTTACCAACAAAATTAACAAAAAAATAATAATAAAAAAATAAAAGCAAAGAAAATTTCCCAAAGTAGCTTAACGACAAGTGACACAAGAAAAATTAAATTCAAAAATAAATGCCTAGGTCTTTTTTTTTTTTTTTTTACAACAATTAAAAGCCATCTACCTCAAAATGATTGTCATAAATGATGAAAGAGTAATGCTATTGTAAGGTTGACTACATAATACTTCGTAATTCTCAGTCTTTTATTGTAACGTAAAAATATTAAAGAGTGCATCTAATATTCGAACCATCTTACAAGAATTATATAGTCAAAAATTCATATAAAAATGCATTAAAAGGTATAAGTTTAGAGATGTAAAATGCAATGGCAAAAAAAATTAAGCAAGGCCGTATGCCCACATTGAGCCCACAATATATCCGTACTTGAGTCAAACTATTGTATTCTCTTTATTTTGAGTTCATTTGACCAAATTAAACTATTATTTTTGATAATCTCATATAATTTTATTTATTTTATTTTGACTGGATTATAGTAAAATTACTTTGGTATTACTTACATGAGAATATATTTGTCCATTATTATTTTTTGTCTTTTTTATTATTATTATCTAAAATATGCTAATTTAAAGGAAATTTGTGATAACTCTGGTGAGGTCAACCTCACAGCAGTGGTGTAGCATAAAATTTTCATTTCAAAGGTACCTAATTAATTAGATGTGCTTAATGATATATGTCATACACATTTGTCTAATTAAATACTTGGATTAACACAACCCTGTTTAAAACATGGGAGGCTTCTTTCCATGAACCAATTAATCTTTCATATAAAGTCATGTGAAGCCTAACGAACCAAAAGTTGGTTGTTTAGTCGTAGTCAAAGCTCATAAGTTCAAAACAACTTCACGATGTCGTTTCCATATCCAAGCAACTACGCACATGCTTTTCAAGATATCTTTGTACATGGGTTCTGAATCTGATGAGAGGAGGCGTTGTTTGGTTCAGAAAAATAAAAAATTTCTCACTCTCCCTCACTCACAGCTTCTGTTCCCAAAACCAGCAACACATCTCAACACACGCACGTACACCGGTACTCTCTCTCTCTTCTTCTACAGAATAATCACCAGATCCAAACAGATCTCTATGTTCTCTGCATTTCTATTTCCCAACCAAACTCTTCTGATCCATCATCATCTATCAGAAAGCCATGAAAGTCCTCTGCTTTCTCTGTCTTCTTCTTCAAACCAAACTCTGCTTCTCTTCCACAACCCAAATGCTGGTTTTGCCACTCAAAACCCAACTAATCCCATCTGGGCCCCTCTCAAGACCTCCAAACAGGCTTCCCTTCCACCACAATGTCACTCTCACCGTTTCTCTCTCAGTCGGCACACCTCCACAGAACGTTACCATGGTCCTCGACACGGGCAGTGAGCTCTCATGGCTTCGCTGCAACTCGACCCGCTTTTACCAACCCGCATTCGATCCGACTAAGTCCTCCTCCTACTCACCCATCACTTGCTCCTCACCCACCTGCACCACCCGGACCCAGGATTTCTCCATACCCGCTTCCTGTGATACTAACAACCTCTGCCACGCCGTGCTATCCTACGCCGACGCCTCGTCCTCGGAGGGAAACCTCGCGTCAGATTTGTTCTCCATCGGAGGAGGATCGGAAATCAGCACCACGGTTTTCGGGTGCATGGATTCCGGTTACAGCAGCAACTCCGATGAAGACTCGAAGACTACCGGGTTGATGGGTATGAACCGCGGGTCTCTCTCATTCGTTTCGCAAATGGGTTTTCCTAAGTTCTCTTACTGCATCTCGGGTTCGGATTTTTCGGGGCTGTTACTCTTCGGTGACGCCAATTTTACGTGGGTCGGGCCTTTGAATTACACTCCGTTAATTCAAATCTCAACTCCATTGCCTTACTTTGACCGGGTTGCGTATACGGTTCAACTCGAAAGGATCAAAGTTTCGGATAAAGAACTGCCACTGCCGAAATCGATATTCGAGCCGGATCATACTGGAGCTGGTCAGACCATGGTTGATTCAGGTACCCAGTTCACCTTCCTTCTTGGCCCGGTTTACAGTGCTTTGAAAAAAGAATTCTTGAACCAAACATCTCGAATTTTGCGGGTTTTGGAGGAACCGAATTTTGTTTTTCAAGGTGCAATGGATCTTTGTTATCGGGTGCCCACGAGTCGACCCACATTGCCTCAGTTGCCAACGGTGAGTTTGGTGTTTCGGGGCGCCGAGATGATGGTTTCGGGTAAGCGGTTGTTGTATCGGGTACCGGGTGAAATCAGGGGGAGTGATTCGGTGTATTGCTTCACATTTGGGAACTCTGATCTGATGGCCATGGAGGCATACGTGATTGGCCATCATCATCAGCAGAACGTGTGGATGGAATTTGATCTTGAGAAATCCAGGATTGGTTTTGCTCAGGTACAGTGCGACTTAGCTGGTCACAGAATCGGTGTATAACTGCTGATCACATGATTGATCATGCAATCCCACATCAAGCAGTGATTGGATTTAATGGCTCGTGGTGTGATTGATTCTATAACAGTGTATGGTACTAGGGCCCACGTTGTTAACGGTAGTGCAACCTGTGGTCCATCCCCTTGATCAGTAGTGATTCTTTGATCAAACGGCAATACTTAAGGGGAGAGAAATGGGAAAGAAGGTTGTTCTTCTACACTCTGTACATTAGATGTTTTTGTTCATGCTGATTAAAATATGATAACATTAATTTTTTTGGACAAAGTTTTGGTAGGAAATTTTGTTGAGTAACTTTGTTATGAGGTCTTTGTAACGAGATTTATCATGAGTTTTCATTTTTTTTTTGTCATGCTCATGTATAAATATTGAGGTACAAATTCAATCACAGGAATTATATAGTTAAAATTTTGTTCAAAAATTCATTTACAGTAAATCACACAAATCGGTCAAAATTTTAGACTATGTTTTTTCGACTAAATTACATTATTAATTTTGACCGACTCGTGTGATATATTGTTAATGAATTTTTTAATGAACTTTTAATTATATAATTCTTGTTTAGTTTTCTTTTAAGTAGATGAGTTCGTATCTCAATATTTGTACCTAACATAAAATAAATAAATAAAATAAAAATTAAAAAAAATAAAATAAAACTCATGAAAAGTCTCATGAGGGCCTCACAGTAGCATTATTCAATTTTATTATTATTTGAAAATACTTTTATCCAAAAATGACCATAGCTGAAGTTATACAACAATTGATAGAAAAATCACATTTCATGAATCGAATATCTTTGGTTGACTTGATTCTTTAGTACTAGTCTAAGAATCTGTTATGATAGTGAGACAGACTTTTTAAACTGAATTTAGACAAAAATTGGGAGTGTTGACCTGTGATTCTTAAATAATTAGACCAATCTGAGTCTGACCTAAAACTAGTGGTTCTATTCTATATCCAAAATAATAATAATTACAACGCATGTGTGTCAATAAATTGAAAAGAGGGTATGGGTGAGTCTTGATTTTGTTAGGTAGGGCAATAACAAAGTATTTGTTTCGTCGTTGATGTGGTTTGGTACTTGCAGTTATTCTGAGTCCCCAACAAGAAAGCTATCTGAATCTGATACGCCCTCCATTAAAAGGGTTAGTTCGAAAGCTTTGGTCCCTTGGAACTCAATAGGGCAGTTGGATATATTATTGCATCACAGTTTGGATGGTTCGAATCATCAATATCTTTCATCAACTTGTGAGTATGGTCCAATTTAATGAAGGATGGTTAAATGATCGTCCTTGCACTGCCTGTTTACCTTTTCCCAACTCATACAACCTAATTCCGAAAGGAAAATGACACGGTCACCGAATGATTTCTCTGAATAAATTCCGAATTTGACGTATTTTTGTCCATCTCATTTACTTACACAGTTTTCAAAAAATAATTATTTAACACCAAATAAGTATAACTAATCACGTCAAATTCAGTGTTAATTCGGGGATTCCTTTTCGGTTCCCCTATCAGTACTCATTCGGAAAATTAACTAGAAATAGGTATTGGTTATTATATCAAAAAATAGTATTTTGGATGAAATACATTATTAGAGTAGAATTGCAAAAATATAACATTTTGATACTGTTACTTCTCTAAAAATATAAATTTGACAAAATAATACAACATTTTACGTTAGAGGTGCTCTGAGGGCTCACTTTCTAGGTCCCCAAGCAATGAAAGATAGCTCTTGTACAAGGAGCGTAGTTGGCGCAACTACAATCAAACTTGTGAGCCTCGCGACTGCATGAATTGTATACATCAAACAAAACTGATGTATACAATTCCCATACGTACAACTCAATCCAACTTAATTATATATATTTCTTATCTGTAGGTGTATATATATATAGTTATTAAAACACACTAATCAACAAGAAGCAAACACTTCACTTATAGTCTTTGCTTCAGAGAGAGTGCTTAAAATGGTCCACTTGTTTATCACTTCCCCTTGCTTAGGAACTGTAATGGGTGAGACAACACCTCAGCCACCAACCTGCTGATTTCTCCAACTATTCTTCCATCGCTTGTCCTTGTCCTTGTCCTTTCTGATAAACATTATATATATATATATATATATATATATATATATATATATATATACATTTATGTATATATATATATATTTGAAGGACTGCTTGATAGGAACACTTTGATTTGCTTGATCACCAAGACAAACGGTTGAGAATGTTCCATGTTGATGCGATATGCACATTTGAAATTCTTATTGATTGCGCATATAAGTACATTCAATCTCCTCAAACAAAGCTTGATAAACCAATATTGAAAATAATATTATAAACTTCATTATCTTTCCTGATTTTGTTTCTAATCGTAAATTGGAATCTCATAATGGGGCTAATTTCACACACACACACACATATATATATAGTATATGGGTCACTAGCTTTACCAATCTAAGCTCTTAGCCTCTTACTTTCTTTAACTATGATGCCCATGGAAATGAACCTTGGAATATTAATGATTGATGTCCAAAGCTATATATTGATTATGTCCCTTCCTATAAAAAATAAATAAATAAATAAAAGAAAAGATACATGATTAATAATCATGAAATCCTTTTAGGCTTTTTGCAATATGACCAATGCATTGCCGTTATGTACTTAAGTGTCATATAGAGCATATTGGAACGGTTCCTTCTTTGGCCCAATGTGTTGAAAATTTCTGCATTGTTAAGATTAGGTCTGCTTTGTTCTTTTTTTTTTTGAAAAACGATTCTCAAGAAGTCAAAATAATAATAATAATAATAATAATAATTGTTTTCATAGAACAATAAGAAATTATTTTATGAAAATATCACAATTTTTTAATTGTGTTTTTCGAGATAAGCAGAACTATATGAAAAATGATTCTTAGACCGAATTCTCTTAACCTATTTGTCGGGCCTAAAGGTTTCTATCCCTTTGATATAGTGAATGGGATCCACGTTTCAACTTATATCCTACATCAAATAAATAGAAACCCTTCCCAACAAAACAAATAAATTAGAGTAATCGATCTAAATAACATTACTCAAAAACTATATTCTTTCTTTTGGCTTGTTAGACCTAGAGCTTTTCCTTCCAAAGGACCATTAATCACCAAATTATTGAGTTTGTTCGAGGTGCACGGACTGGCTATAGGAACATACCTAGAGGAATTCATTATTACAATCTTTAGACATTGAAATTGAAAGGTATTGTTTGATTGCTTCCACATATTTCACATGAGAACTAGTTTGTAATATCTATTTTAGCACGACAAACAGACTAATTCATTAATTCCTGAAGCTTGCTCCAAACATCCTAAATTTTTTTTTTTATCAAGGCAAATTAGGATAAGAGGCAATATATAGTCCACATTACTAGTTGGTAGCTACTATGGAATCACATGTATATATATAATACAAATATCACCAAATTAAAATATAAAAATCAAATGTGAATCACGAATTAGAGGTTGCTCATGAAGGAAAGTTTTGAGAGGAAAAGACAGTGGTCAAACAAACTGTATAGATTGGCTTTGACAACACTCTAAAGTTGTTTTCCATCAGTTGGTACTTCCAAATTTGCAAGCTATTATGGTCTTACATGTCCCCTGTATAAAATATAGTAAAATTCATCACCTAATCGACCAAACTCTCCTTCCTCACCTCTGTATATATATACATGACCTGATGAAATTTTAAATATCAAGACATAAGGAGCAGGTTAAGATTCAAACATCAACTCTAACCTTCTCCCTAGAGAGAGAAATATGGGCGGTTCTATTCTTCCTTCAGCAGCATTTGTGGGAATTTTCATCTCATTGATGACATCGTTTCTCCTTCCATGCCCTGCACTTGCCAAGGATGAAGGCATAACTAGGCACTACAAGTTTGATGTATGTGTCACATTTATAGTCTTGGAACTAATGTTTTCAAGCTAAAATTTGTGCAAATTATTTATGTATAGATTTTGCATGCTTTGTTTCTTACTTTATAGCTTTGGAAAATTGTTTTGTAGATCAAATTGCAAAATGTGACGCGACTATGCCACACGAAAAGCATGGTTACCGTGAATGGGAAGTTTCCAGGCCCTCGCGTTGTAGCTAGAGAGGGTGACCGGCTTGTTATTGAAGTGGTTAACCATGTCCAAAACAATATTAGCATCCACTGGTTTGAGTCTTCCCTTCGTCACTTAATTAAATCATAATCTAAATGGCTAAGTATGATTTCATTGCAACAGGCATGGCATTCGACAACTTCAATCCGGATGGGCTGATGGACCAGCTTATGTAACTCAGTGCCCCATACAAACTGGTCAGAGCTATGTGTACAACTTCACCATTGTTGGCCAGAGAGGAACTCTCTTTTGGCATGCACATATTTCATGGCTGAGATCAACAGTCTACGGTCCTTTACTCATTCTTCCCAAGCACAATGTTCCTTATCCATTTACCAAACCCTATAAGGAAGTTCCTATCATCTTTGGTAATTAACTGACTTTTCACAAGTTAGATGCAATTCAAGTACTCCATTGTACCTCTATGATACTCTGAATTGACTAATACAAATTTAATTATGTTACTTCATAATTTGTAGGAGAGTGGTTCAATGCTGATCCGGAGGCAATAATTAGCCAGGCTTTGCAAACAGGAGGGGGACCAAATGTCTCTGATGCCTACACCATCAATGGACTTCCAGGGCCATTGTATAATTGCTCTGCTAAAGGTATCCAATGCAACCACAATATTCGTGGCTAAAGCCCTTTGGCCACGAGCGACAACATTGTTGCAGCTTGTTCATGACTAATTGTGTTTAATCACAGAAAATTAATCCCGCTTCTGTCACGAATTTTACACCGTGCTAAAAATCATGATTTTTACCACAAAAGTTGGGATGACAAACCGTTATGATTTGACCACGGCCTACCTGACAACTTTATCACTATAATAAAAAGTTATGAGCCTGCTTGATTCTAAAACTAGAAAATTTGGTTGACAATTTTCTGATATTTGAATTTAACTACTTTCATATCACACAGTATTTATGTTTTTTTCTAAAAAATGTTTTTTGTTTTTAGAGTTTTAAACTACTTTCAAAAGACTAAACCAAACAACCTCCATATTTTTTTAACACACCTATCTTTTACTACATCTGTCTTTTGTGGCAAAAGCTCTGACAATGGAAAATCATTTTGTTATCTTTGACAGATACATTCAAGCTGAGGGTTAAGCCTGGAAAGACCTACCTTCTCCGCTTTATCAATGCAGCCCTCAACGACGAGCTCTTCTTCAGCATCGCAAACCACACAATGACAGTGGTGGAAGCCGACGCCATTTACGTTAAGCCCTTTGAAACTAGGACACTTCTCATCACACCTGGACAAACCACCAATGTCCTTCTCAAGACCAAACCTTATTTCCCAAATGCTACATTTCTCATGACTGCTAGACCATATGCCACTGGCCTTGGCACCTTTGACAACTCCACAGTTGCCGCCATTCTTGAATACGAATCACCTTCCCTTCATTCAACCATCTCAATGAAGAAGCTTCCGCTCTTCAAACCAACCCTACCTCCTCTCAATGACACCTCATTTGCCACCAATTTCACAAAAAAACTACGTAGCTTAGCGAGTGCTCAATTCCCAGCTAATGTCCCCCAAAAGGTTGATAAGCACTTTTACTTCACAGTAGGCCTTGGGACTAGCCCATGCCACCAAAACCAAACTTGTCAAGGTCCAACTAATGGAACTAAGTTCGCGGCTTCCATTAACAATGTTTCCTTTGCACAACCAACCACAGCCCTCCTCCAAGCTCACTTCTTCGGGCAATCAAATGGTGTTTATAACCCGGATTTTCCAATGAATCCAATGCATTGGTTTAACTATACTGGGAATCCTCCAAACAATACTATGGTGAGCAATGGGACCAAATTGGTGGTACTTGCTTTTAACACTAGTGTGGAGCTGGTCATGCAGGACACAAGCATTCTTGGAGCTGAGAGCCACCCTCTCCATCTCCATGGATTCAACTTCTTTGTTGTTGGACAAGGTTTTGGGAACTATGATCCGAATAAGGACCCTAAAAGCTTCAATCTTGTTGACCCTATTGAAAGGAACACAGTGGGTGTGCCCTCTGGTGGGTGGGTTGCTATTCGGTTTCTAGCAGACAACCCAGGTGGGTAAATATATATCGAATCAGCATTATATATATATAGCTAGTGTTAAATTGCATTTATATAGAATCAGTATTTGAACTGCAATAAAAGGCCAATTCAAGCACATAAGAACATTTTATAGTGATGCATGCATGCATTAGGCATTAATAGATCACAAATGATTTGAACTCATTGCTCCTTGCATATACACATGTACAAGTTTAAGAATCACAAACAATTACGTATGAATCAGGCACTTATCATACTGAATTAATTAAAATAATTTTTACTCTTTTAGTACTGTTTGCCACCTTTTTAAATTTAGGGTAAATTGATGATATCTTTTTTAATGGGCATGGATTAATATATATGTGTGTGTGTGTTATGATTTCATTGTATTTTGTAACGTTTTTCAAGTTAGTAAGAGTGAGGATGGATGACAATTACTATTTGTGGACAGGGGTTTGGTTCATGCATTGTCACCTGGAAGTCCATACTAGCTGGGGTTTGAAGATGGCTTGGCTTGTCTTAGATGGAAAGCTTCCCAATCAAAAGTTGCTTCCTCCACCAGCAGATCTTCCCAAATGTTAATCTTTGGTTCACTTCTGGATTCACTACTTTTGGTTTGCAAAAAATTGACAGCCTTTTTTCTACCCATATAATTAATTTGTTGGCTTTTTTTTTTTTTTCGGAGGATTTGTGTTTCCTAATTAAAATTTTTGGTTTTTATTATTATTATTTTTTCCCTTGAGGAGATAACGAAGAAGAGCGTGCTAACTTTTGTAACTTTCGGAACATGTTTATGCGAGTGTGAAAATCAATAATTTTGTTGGAATATTGAGCTTTTATTTTTCCGTTTTCTATTTCTAAGCAAGGCATGGAAAATTTAGTTTTTGCAATATAAGAAATGGAAAATGCTCGGCCAGCTTACCAGTTGATAATCCTCATGAATGGTGTTGTACTGTAACTTGTAAGAATACTTGTGAAGTCAATAAGGCTGCAAAAACTTAGGCCAACCATCAATTTATGTTTTTTTATTTTATTTTGGTAAGTAATAAGAGTAATTGGGTATATATAGAAAAGTACTGCACCAAGAGACAAGGCTTCAAGAAGGCAGTCACAAAATAACCAACACCATACAACTAAAAATCTCAATAGAGAAACCCAAAAACATAACAAGAACAGAGCAAAAGTCCATCCTTCAGAACTAAACCACAGCAGAGCACAAATTCATAGCTTTTAGGGATACATCATACAATTTCAAATTTAAGAACAGCCACATTTTCAACAATTATTTAGTTCCAGTTGTACAACCATAAAAAAAGCAATATTTGTGGATTAAAGTTTGAAATGGCAAGCTAAGCCTGTTTTTTTTTTGTTGAAACAAGCATGGCATTCAACATCTTCAAACCAATTCAAACTAGGAGAGCTATGAGCGCACAACTTCATCATCAGGAGGGGTTGTTCAATTAGAAGGATCCAAGAACTACTTAATATTGGAATAACTAAATTATAACAAATAAACAATGTAGAAAATATTTAATTTGAAAGTAATTGCCTGAAGAAAATTAATATATTTTCATACATAAATTGTTCAAAATTAGTGTTGTTAGGTGCATGAATTTATGAATATGTAAGTCTAGAAATTGTATACGTAAGAACCTTTACAAATATACTACGATTCTATGAAGAACAAGTGTGCTCATGAAGATACTGACCCAATGAAAACTGTTAGGAAACTTCAAATTTACAATATTTCTGTACATATGAAAAATGATAACTGAAAATTAAGAGATTAAAATAAGGTCACTCTAGAAAACCAGGAACAAGACTAATAGTCCAGCCACATGAGTTCTTTGTTTTCCTTTTAAAGGCCATCAATCATTATGTTTTAGGCACTAGTAAAATGAAAAATGAACTCATTGATTTGGTCCTTGTATACAATTTTTGGTTTATGCTAAATGATAAATGTTGTCCTTATGAAACTCCTGTAAATATTGTCTTCAAAGATATAATTTAGTTAAGCTACTATAAATTATGTATAAAGATCATGATGCACCTTTTTTCTTTTTTTTTTCCTCGAAATTGCTATTCTCATACAAAATCTCGACCATTTACGTCAGCATTGTCAAGACCCCATAAACGAATGCATACATAGTATTTTCACTAAAACAATTACATGAATAGGGGGATAAATATTTTTTTGTTTTTTGGACAGAAACAGGGGGATAAATTGCAATCTGTCAAAAGGCAGGCTAATGTTGAATTTTGCTTGAAATTTCATAATAATAGACGCACCCAGTCTTATCAAAGTCACTAACACAATAGAGGTCTTTTGAAGCCTAAGTGCAAGGCAAGACAAGGCAAGGCACGCGTATGAGTGAAGCAAGATGCACAATTAAAAAATTAAATTACTATTAAAGCATATTTATATTCCTTATTAAAGGCACACATGTTATCAATGACGCACCTGGACACACAATAGGCGCAAGTGTTGCACCTATATGAGGCTGAGCGTACGCCTAGGCTCGCCTTCAACAACACTGAACTCACCCTTTTGCAAAATGAAACCTTTATTTGTGGGACATTAGGCAATGAGTTTTTCTTTTCTTTTCTTTTCCTTTTTTTTCTTTTATTATTTTATTGGGTAGGTGACAATGGGCATTCCTTATTGCTGCCGAAGTATCAGAATTTTGTTTGAAACCCGAACAAAGTTTCCTCGGTAATTGTCCAGGACATGTGGGTCAAAAGTCAAAACTATATATACCCGCGGTGATAGATTATAGAGTGCTCTAAAAGACCAATTACTACCATCAGATAAAAGTGAGTCTGTCTTAATTTTCAGATTCACTATTATTGTACAAGAAGCTTTGCTTAACTTTATAATGAAGTATTCAGAATACATGTGGTTAATTAATATTATAATGCATTTGTTTTAGGAGGGAAAAGAATTGACTTCAGTAGACATCAAAGCTGTTATAGTTGTACAGGAAGGAACAACCGACAGCTAACAAGATGGTGTTAACACCATCCAATTTTGGCTTGATTAGCAAGTATATATCAATGGTAGGAGAATGAAGGCTACCAGGCAACCATTGCCAACATAAAGCTCCAAAATATATTGATTAATTGTCCAATCCATTTCACTCAATGAATTCATGTCTATTTTATTTTCTACTCAAACCATATAGGTTGTTTTCAATGAATTGAAAATTCCCAAGATAGTGACTCTTATAACCTCATTTTGCTTATCAAACAAGTTTGGGAATTAAATCATTGTTTTGTGGAAAAGGGCATTCTGGGAACTCTATGAAAACCGTTAAATTTATTATTTAATCAAATAAGACAATCTAACTTGGACAGCCCTCAAAGTAAAGTTGGCTAAAAGCCATTGTCAATTAAGTCAACATTAATCTGTTTTTTGGAGGTATGATGTGTCTTGTAGGTGATAATCCCATATTAATTAAGCACCTAATTATCCAAAAGCACCATCTAATTTCTCACTATATATACACTCTTCACGTGCTCTCTGTATCTCCATCAATCAAGCTTGAGTCACACAAATTACCAATTGTTTCTTGTTATCTTCTCCATCAGCCAAAGTACACGCAGACATGGGTTTTTGCTCCCCAAGGGTCTTACTCTTTGCTTTGAGTTTTTTGTTAGCTTTTGCAGAGCTTGTGATTGCAAAACATGTTGGCATTACCAGGCACTACAAGTTTGATGTATGTATTGCAATTTATATACATCAATATATATATTTCATGATGCATTAAGATATATATATATATATCTTAATGCATCATGAAATATACTGCATATATAATATGACCTTACTTTATCTGATTTTAATATGTTATTTACAGATCAAGATGCAAAAGGTGACAAGGTTGTGCCAAACAAAGAGCATTGTGACTGTCAATGGGCAGTTTCCAGGGCCTCGGATCATCGCAAGGGAAGGCGACAGATTGTTAGTTAAAGTGGTTAACCATGTTCAGTACAATGTCTCCCTTCATTGGTATTTAACCACCCTATTATGATTATATATATAGTTCTTCTGGTGGTACTTGGGAGTGTTAATTCGCTACATTAATTATGATTTTGTATAGTATATCACTAGAATTTTTGGGCATGACAGGCATGGGATCAGGCAGCTTAGGACTGGATGGGCAGATGGACCTGCATATATTACACAATGTCCAATTCAGACAGGCCAAAGCTATGTATACAACTTCACCATTACTGGCCAAAGAGGAACCTTATGGTGGCATGCTCACATTTCATGGCTGAGAGCCACTCTCTATGGGCCTATTGTCATCCTCCCGAAACGACACATTCCATACCCTTTCCCACAACCCCACAAAGAAGTCCCCATCATTTTTGGTAATTTAAGTTAATCATGTAGCAGAAAAAAAATATATTAAAATTTTGTCAATCACCGTCATTATAATTATTGAATTGTTCTCATTTTCAATGACATGACTTTGTCTTGGATTGCAGGTGAATGGTGGAAGGCAGATACAGAGACAATTATCAGCCAAGCACTGCAAACTGGAGGAGCCCCAAATAATTCTGATGCCTTCACCATTAATGGTCTTCCAGGACCATTGTACAACTGCTCAGCTAAAGGTATATATAATTACTGAAATACAAAGGTTTATTTGGTTAATGGTTTTCTATTTTCTAACAACTAAAAAAAAACTTTTATTTTACAATTTTTTGAAAACAATTTAGAAAACACTCAATTTCACATAACAACCTTTTCTAGTTATTTGAAAACAGTTTTATATTTTTTAAGTCTCGAAAATTATTTTTAGATTACTTGAATGCACTTTGACAATTATGAAAAAAAAAAAAAAACACTTTGACAGATAAATTTAGTATTTATTGGGAAAAATTATTTGTGAATTGAAATGAAGACAAACTATACATTTGCAGATACCTTCAAACTGAAAGTGAAGCCAGGGAAGACATACCTCCTCCGTCTGATCAATGCTGCACTCAATGACGAGCTATTCTTCAGTATTGCTAACCACACGGTCACCGTTGTGGAAGCTGATGCTGTCTATGTTAAGCCATTCAAGACCAGCATAGTTCTCATTACCCCTGGACAGACCACCAATGTACTCCTCAAGGCCAACTCTAACATCCCTAACAATGCTACCTTCCTAATGGCGGCTAGGCCTTACGCCACCGGTCCTGCAACCTTTGACAACACCACAACTGCCGGAATCCTTGAATATCACCACCCTTCCTCCGCCACGAAATCCCAAAAGAAGAACCTCCCACTTTTGAAACCAAAATTTCCTAAATTCAATGACACATTGTTTGCAACAAAATTCACCAACAAACTTCGCAGTTTGGCCACCAAGAAGTTCCCTGCAAATGTACCAAAGACTGTCAATAAGCAATTTTTCTTCACTGTCGGGCTAGGAATAAGCACATGCTCTAAGACCCAAACCTGCACAAACAACACTAGGGTGGCTGCTGCTATTAACAATGTGTCATTTGTGCAGCCAAACACGGCTCTACTTCAAGCTCACTTCTTTCGACAATCAAAGGGTGTATACACCACTGATTTTCCTGCAAACCCACCTTTCAAGTTTAATTATACAGGCACTCCACCAAACAACATTATGGTGAGCAGTGGCACAAAAGTGGTGGTGCTTCCATTCAAAACTAGTGTGGAGCTGGTCATGCAGGACACAAGCATTATTGGTGCAGAAAGCCACCCTCTCCACCTCCATGGCTTCAACTTCTTTATTGTGGGTCAGGGTTTCGGAAACTATGACCCCAAGAATGATCCGGCTAAGTTCAACCTTGTCGACCCACCGGAGAGAAACACTGTCGGTGTCCCCTCCGGCGGTTGGGTTGCTATCCGATTTCTTGCAGACAATCCAGGTGAGTATCAATGAATGTAATGCTATATATCACTATGGAAAATGCTATTTAAAACAAAATTCAACCCCAAAATATAAAGAATTTTTATTCCTTAAAAAGATGCATTGAATAAGTCCAAAACTTTGATTAAGTCGTGGAGATTGGACCTTCAACTTCACAATCATTTAATTTTTTATTTTTTCATTACATATAAAGTGAATATGGAACATAGTCACATAATGTGACAAGTAATCAATAAATTGTATTGCTGTTGAAATCAAAGGGTTAATAATTTGATGATATTTCGTGATGATGTGTGTAAACAGGGGTATGGTTCATGCATTGCCACCTGGAAGTTCACACAAGCTGGGGGTTGAAGATGGCCTGGGTTGTGAACGATGGAAAGCGTCCGAATCAAAAGCTGCAACCTCCACCGTCTGATCTTCCCAGATGTTGATCATGATTCTCTCTTTAGTTGTAGTGTTATTTCATGTTAATTCTTTTATTTTTCTTCCTTCTTTCTTGTTCCCACCTCTGCCCAGAAAGGGCAAAGGAAAAGTAAGTTTTAGGCTTTTAGCTTATGATGATTGCTTTGGGTTGCATTTTCACGGGCCCCTCCAAGAAAGAAACAAACAGTGGAGATTTTGAGTATGTTTTCAGTTTTGTAATGCTATATCTCCAATTATTTTATCAAAGGACTTCTCTTACCTCTTTTACTATTACTTCTTTCAATTCAACATTATATATATATTGGGACTCTTCAAGTTGCTAAATGAACAACTATATATATTTTGGAGACGATTTAAACAATGAACCTCATAAATTAGATTTGTGAACATGCTCACTGGGACTAATGCAGAGCAAGGCTGGAAAGGGCTTGTACCTTATTTTTTTTAATCAATCTGGTCTTTCATCTCAAGTTCCAAAATGAGCAAAATTAACTTGAAATTAACTGACCAAGATAAAGAATTTGAATTTAAATGCGACAAATAGGAACAAAATTGAATCTTAACACTTATTTCTAGACCTATAAATTCGAGCCAATCTCAAACAACTATGGAGTATTAAACAATCATTAGTTGCTAACCGAGTTTGAAGAATCATTTACTTGATTGGATTTGGTTTTAATTTAACCTTTTCTCATCAAAAGGTTGGAAAAATTATGAATTGCAAACATTACTTTAAATCTCTTACAAGAAATAAGTACCGAAAACTTTCTGATATCAAAATTTTAAAAATAATTTAATTGAGAAAGTTCACATTATTAGATAATAATAATAATAATAATAATAATAACAACAACAGCTACTGTAACAACAAATTCACCGAATTTAAGCAACAATCATGAAATACAACAGAAAAATAAATATATCAATATAAAGATTTATACGTGGTTTAGCAAAGCTTACATTTACAGTAGAGATCCAACGTACTATGTATAAAATCGAAAATTACAAGTTTCAGCCCCATTTTTTTTTTTTTTTATTTATATGAATTCAGATGTCTCTTAATAATGCACTCCAAATCCTAAACGCCCTTGTATATCGAGTTACAAAATAGTACTAATTAGGGTTCATGGCCCATAAGTAAAAACGAATCAAAAATTTTCCTTATCCAACAGCTCATCAGGTCGCAACACGATCCAACACCAAACTCGACCTACAACGTCACAATAACAATAATTGATTGATAATTTTAACTTTTTTTCTTTTCAGAATTCGTTTAGAAGTAGAAATTAATATAAAAACCTAAAAAATGACATTTGGGCTCCGGTTGTTTTGACGTAAAATAATTTTTTCGAAAACTATTTTTTTTTTCAAGTAAAATATATATATTTTATTTTATCTTTTGATATTTGACAAAGATTTAGGTCAGGTATGTTGAATGTCGAAAATTGATGAGTAAATTATTTTTATTAGATTTTATTATTTTTTTTATTCATATATATTTTATAATAATCAAATAATTAAAAATAAAATATTTTCCATCCAAACAAAAAAAAAAAAAAAAAAAGTTAATGCAAAAATAGTGCTGTAAAAATAACTAAACACTACTACTACCTCTCTCGGTACATAAAATAGAATAACAAGGGCCCCATTTCGGTAATTTGAGAAGGCCAACAAATCGCACCTCTACATATTTCACCGAACACATAATAACCAATTTCTCTTACTTCAAGTTTCAGACCCAACAAGAACCTGCCGGAGACACCGTCGTAATACATATACGCCGGTGGCTCCGGCACATTATAAATACACTCACCAAATCCTCGTAGTAACAATAATTTTTGTTCTCGTAAGAATACCCCAAGGCCGATCATCGGACCGTTTCAGGCCAGAGATGAAACGGAGCTTCCGGCTCTCTCTTTCGGTTACCGTCGTTATCGCGGCCATTGGTTTCATATACTTCTCGACGGTCTTCGTGTTCATAGACCGGTGGTTCGGTCTGACCTCGTCGCCTGGCATCATGAACGCCGTCGTTTTCACCGCCATCGCCATTATGTGCGTCTTCAACTACTCAGTCGCCATATTCACCGATCCGGGACAGGTCCCGTCCACCTTCGTCCCGGACATTGAAGACGCAGATAACCCTATCCACGAGATCAAGCGCAAGGTACTCCGAAATTCTTTGATTTTTATCCCTAATTTTTAGGGTTCCGATAATATTTCAGTATTGTCTATTTGATTTACATACTGTTCAATTTTTTAGTTCTGTAACTGTTGATATTTTATGCTCTTATCACGCGCATTCATATAAACATACACATGCATATACAACATCATAATTAGCTTATACACTTGAATGCGATGCAAACAAGGTCACACATTCATGCCTGATTGATCATATTTTCAATTTTTTTAGTGTTTTGATTTCAACTCAAACTTTTAGGGTTTTGATGTTACTGTTTGTGATCATTGTCAAATGAAAATACATTCTGTTAAAATTTTTGGATCCTTGTATGTTTTTGTCATATATATATATATATATATATATATATATATATATATATATATATATATATATATATATAAATTAATATATAACAGCAGAATTAAATAATTAGATCTTGTAAGAAATTGAATTCGAAATTATTATGCAAATAATATTGTTGTATTCCGAAGCATAATAAAATAAAATAAATATGTAAAAAGAAATGAGTTTGGAGCTCCTTTGCGAATCTAATAAACTTGGCCTCTTATAAAAACGCTTATATTTTTATAGATCTTACACGCAACAAGATACAACCCAATCTAACAAGCGGTCTTCTTTGAGAACGTCCAAAGAGAGACAAGATGTACCAGTGTTGTGTCTAGTTGCCCCAAAATATTATGGGAATTACATACAAATATGATAAATAATTGGATAAATTACTCTAATCTCCTTGGGGTTTGACCTAATTCCCTAGGCTTAAAGATTTCAAAATATGGTGGTTTACCTCCCCTTAGGTTTGGTTCACTTTACTCTGAGTAGCCCTGTTAAAGTTAAGAAAAATTAATAACCAGAATTCTAAAACTACACTCACATGCAGCAAAATTACTTAAATAATTTTGTAAACAAATAAAATCACCATTCAAACCAACAACAATATAACAGCCTTTGCTTCTCTCTCTTGACCACCACCAGTGCTGCCACATTCACTGGTAGCTATATCCTATATAAATCCATTTGTCCCATTTTTATTTATTTAAAAATGGTGGGGGAGATAAGGGGTGATACAGAATGTATGAATTGGGTTTGTTGCCTCTGTTTTCGCTAGTATTTGCCGGAAATGTGGAGAGGGCTGAGGATAGATGGAACCAACATGGGCTTAGTGGGGATAATCTTAAGGGGTTGTGTAGAGATCTGCATCCCGGTCCGGTGAGTCTGCTACGCTGGAATGGGAAGGGGAAGCCATGGCTGAGATCGGATTCCAATAAGCCATGTCCGTTGGATAGCTTGTGGTCGCCGTACAATCTGTTCCGTCACGCGCTGTTGTTTTCAGACAGATTCACCGTATTTGCTAATTGGAGACATTTTATGTGCTGTGGTCGAGTTGCCAGCGGTTAAGGTGAGGTGGTGGTGGTGGACCAATGGTGAAGATAATTGGTGCTTTGATGTAATGACATATACTCCCTGCATCCCAAAATTCTTGTCCATCTTTCTATTTTAGGATGTCCCAAAATACATGTCCTATTCTAAAATTGAATATACTATTTTTATAATATACCTAAATTATCCTTTTGACATTGACTTGTGCACTAATTACGGAGTATTCTTTGTCTTTTAACAAGGAGAATTTTGAAAATTCACTTTTATCAATACAATAAAAATAATAATTAAAATTTCACTACCATAAAAAGTTGGATTCCCCAGACACCCCAAGAATATTGGGACGGAGGGAGTAGTACTGTTTTGGCGGTGGTTGGATTTCAAAAGATTTGCTTTACTTTTGTTGGTGGGAGATGTTTTTGGCAGTGGTGTAGGCATGGGAAAATATGTGTGCTGGTGGAGGAAACTGAAAGAGAGAGTAAAGAGAGAAAGAATGGTCGTGGAGATAAGGGGACGGTGGACAGAGAAAAAGAGAGGGGTATATGTGTTATTTGAAGGTTTTTTTTTAATATTATATTATATTAGAATTGAGGATATTTTAGTAAATAATTATTGATAAGTTGAAGACATTTAAGTAAATGCACACCAAATGTTAGTTTAAGTAACGTACCATTAGTCTGACGGGGATTAGAATAAGTTTGCAAAAATTTTAATCCGAGAGTAATTAGGCCAAACCTTAAAGGAGGTCGGAGTAATTTACACTAAATAATATTGAACAAAAGAGAGTTAGATAGATGAGAGAGAGTGAGAAAGTAAAAAAGACCATTAGCCTTCTGGGTTAACTTACCTTATATTGGCCTGGAGCCCAACAGCTGTAATGGGCAATTTAATGAGTCTAATGGGAACAAATAAATCATCATAAAACCTAATAAAATGGAAACAATAGGCTAATATAAATTGGCTTAATAATATGAAATAGATGTCCTATAAAAGTGTGTAACCAACAAATAAGTAAATAATAAGGGACTGAGAAGTTCTGAGAACTTCTTATATTCACTAACAATATCATCTATGACTCAAATATTGTCTTTCTCACACTCTTAGATTTTGATCTAAATGCGCAGGACCTTAGAATAAGGTCATCTCGAAGATCCTTAGATCTCAGCCATCAAATCACAAACTCCTTAGTGTCATATGGACTGTGCCATATCCACATACCTTTAAGTGGTTATTATGATTCAGTTGTGCATCATGCAGTTTACTCTACCTTAAGTCCTGTGACAAACTTATACCATGTATAATAGTATATATTAGGGTACCTTCCTTTTGCCCTTAAATTTCCAAGAGATATCTTGTCAAGGGCAAGGGTTATCGGATGGGAAGTTCTTGCAATGCAAAAACTGGCTGCAAGCCATTTGTGTGGTAGAGATATTTGCTTTTAGTATAAAGAAGCTGCTTATGAGATTATGCACGTGGAGAGCCATACAAAGTCTATTTGCAGTCAGACGTGTACAAAAGCTGCTTGTTTCCTGTGAGAATGAAGATCGACGAGGAACATTCGAGCAGGCAACTTTGATGGTTGGAACTATGAGACCAACTGGCTCATAATAACAAAAAACTTGTTAGTCCTCTTTAAATAATGAAATATACATAAAAATTATTAGCATAGTGCTAACATGATATCCATTTTCAAAAGTTGTTTGTTAGTTATTCACTTGTATTACGGGGTCATATACCTAGGTATGAAAAATGTTGAAACCAGCTTATGGGCACTTCCATTAGGCAGTATATTATTGGTTGACAGTTGACACGGATCTGTAAATCAAAATAATGTGAGCAAACATAATGAAAAAGAGTGCAAGGATCTGGAGACCAAGTTGTAGTCTAAAGGATTATTTCTGAACTGATAATTCATTAGTAATAATAATGCAATAATATTTTAGAATGTAATCAAATAAATTAGTACACATTTGATGGAAATTTAATCTGAAGTTGGAATTATTTATCAGAAAGTTTGGGACTTTACCTTCACAGATTGACCTTCCTATGGATTGATTTTGCAGGGTGGGGATTTGAGATACTGCCAAAAGTGTTCCCACTATAAGCCTCCACGTGCACATCATTGCCGTGTGTGTAAAAGATGTGTTTTGCGGATGGTACGCATCCTCGACGTTAACTTTCATGCCTTGTCTCATATGTCCTTGTTTAATGTGTTAAAGTGCTGCATTTTGAATGTAAGGATCACCATTGCAATTGGATGAATAATTGTGTGGGCCATGCGAACTACAAGGTCTTCTTCGTCTTTGTTGTGTATGCTGTAATTGCATGCATCTACTCATTGGTATGTTCAAATTCTTTTTGCCTAATACGAAAAACCTTTGCTATTGTTGCATGCTTCTACTACATGTTACATTTTTATTCTTTTGTGCCCAATAGGGATCAAATCTTTTGCATTCTAATTTTGAGATTTTTGACATCTCTGTGTAATTGGAATTGCATGTGGTTGTTCCCTATGTGGTTTCCAAATGGAAAAAGCTTAAGACCATAACTTAAGACCGTAACTTCCCTTGTTTCCTATCTTTGAAACAATTTCCAGGTTTTGCTTGTGGGCAGTCTGACTAATGATGATCAAAAGGACGAGCAGCAAAGTGAAGGATCTTTCAGAACTGTATATGTATTTCCTGCTAATTTATTTGGTTACATTTTGTCATTTTACATTTTCATATCAATGAATTTCTTATCAGTTTTTATGTTCAGGTTATTTCTGGATTGTTGGTGATACCATTAACTGTGGCACTGAGCATTCTTTTGGGTTGGCATATCTATCTCATTTTGCAAAACAAAACTACAATTGAGGTTTACAAAAATTTATATTATTTGTTATTGTCCAATTTTTAATTTTTTTATGGTCAAAATAGTTTTCACATCTTGATTTATTTGACAGTACCATGAAGGGGTGAGAAGCATGTGGCTTGCAGAGAAAGGAGGGAATGTTTATTCACATCCGTATGATCTTGGTGCCTATGAAAATCTGATAACGGTATAAAAAAAAAATTTGGTTCTAAAAGCTTACTTCCGGTTTCTTATAAACTTATCACCCAAACTTTCTGTAGTTTAAGTTACTGATAGGCTCTTTTGTAGTTTAAACTTGATGTTACAAATTGTAGTTTAAGCTTACAGATGTGACTCTTACTTTTATATAGGCTCTCTTTCCTGATCAACGGCTAAAATGCATTACAATTCTGGATACTTCTCCAATTAATCAATTTCTACACACTCTTCAATGTTCTATTATCCTCTTACCTTTCAACAATAATCTATAGTTTCTTATTATTTCTAGTCTTTTATATTTTATTGAAATGAAAATATACAAGGGATAAGAGAAGAAAAATAGTATGTGGTCAATTTTTAAACAAGAAAGTATTATCCCAAATATATGTGTGCTCGTATTTTTATTTTATTTTTGTTTCTTTATGCTGAATTTTTTAATATTTTTAAACAAGAAAAGTGAATTATATACCGTACAGTTACAAACACGTATTTTCCCACCGTATTTTACTATGGTTTTTCTTGGCTGCTTCAGGTGCTGGGTCCAAGTATCCTCTACTGGTTATGTCCCACATCAAGACATATTGGCTCTGGTCTTCGTTTCCGCACCGCATATGATATAGCCATTGGCGCTTCAACATCCAAATGAGTTTCAGTGTTGGCTGGTTGGTTGGTTTTGGAATTTTATGGGCAGTAGAATTCACTCTTTCTTGGGTAGAAGCGGAGGAGGCATCCTAATCTTTTGACACGGTTTGGCTTTGCCCATTTCAAGTGTAGGTTTAACTGTTTTGCTCGGGGTAGCTGGGGTTGCCAACGGTTCGTAATTCAGCAGTTGCCAACGGTTCAATGAGTTCTTGAAGCTTTTAGATGCAAATTATAGGTCTCTAAGAAAAGGACTCTACAAAGACAAGTGCCATTTTTATTCACTAGTGTCGCGCATCGATTCTCAGATTGTTTAGATCATGTAGAAGTTAGATCATCGAATTTTGTTGATATTCTTAGACCATGTACAAAACCATTTCAGGCTATAACCCACCATATCCGAAATGGAGGAGAGAGCTGAAATCCACTGAAACGAGCAGATTCCTCGTCTAGTTTTCTCTAGAAAAATCTTCTTCATCCAGCTCACAAAGTTGTACACTTGTACCTTGCAAAAGCTGAATAATAGTATTGTGATTGATATTCTTTGTTTCAATAAACCTTCATTTTCTTTAACGGTAGTAAGTTTCGTGTTGTCTTCGAATAATAAGTACTCCGAGTATGGGGAAAATTCCACCCTAGTCCTACTTTTCAAGCCCAAAGACAATTTAGTCCTACATATTTTTGAGTTGGACAAAAAAGTCCTAATTTTAACCTTTATTTCCAAATTGGTTCAAATATATATATATATTTCTAAAAGTGCCCTTATTAGTACAATGTATGTACAGTGTATTTCTTTGGTCTTAACCACGGTCATGTCACTCATGTCTTCTCCGCGTAGCGTCTTATTAGTACATTGTATTTCTTTGCTTTTAACCAATTCATCAACGCAGTCCCCGGTCGCGTCTTCTCCATCAGCTTGGCCGGAAACCCCGCTGTTAAACTGAGATCGAGATTGGAGAGCTCCAATTTCAAGAAATCGTCAGAGCGTCTCCGTTTGGGCGCCTTCAATCGCGATGTCGGAATTAAATCTTAAAGCTACACGTTAAAACTCGTGTTGTCGCCGGATTCGGACGAAAACGAACCTCCGCCGCCGCTGAGGAGCTCCAGAATCGGCCTCAAAACGCCGCCGCAGAGGACGGTTTCCACTACCTTTTGGCACACGTGCCAGTTATCGGTCCAGAGGAGTCTGACGGCTCCATTCACCAAATTCACCGTCCGGCCACACGCTTGAAACATAAGCGACTGAAAGAGATTTGTAACACAAATCAAAACACAATCCGATTATTGAAATAAAAAATTAAACAATTAGTCTATATTTTAGAGAAATAAAGAGAATCAATTACCATCCTTCGTCTCCGTCGCAACAGAAGAACTTGGAGATGAAGTCAGTGGCGTGCTACAAACAAGGACAAATAATTAATACGTAGTATTAAGTAGGCATAATTTCACTGACACCCTCAGTGATTTGGCCAAATATCAGTCTAAAATATCTTTCGAAAATAACTATCACTCACATTACAAATGTTTGCTCCGTTTTTCACTCACATCCCAAAAGTTAGTTTACAGATGTGTCAGACCATCAAAGGGTAAAAATGTCTTTTTACATGTAAAAAGACATTTTTACCCTTTGACTGTAGTTTAACCCTGACTTTGGTATACCCTCATTTTTTTAATTTATTTTTTTACAAAATATCAGTATTAAAAGACAATATGGCCCCTCAAAAATTTGTAAATTTACAAATTATATTATATATACAGGCAAACATATATATACTCCTATATACACACACAGACATATATATATATACACACACACACACAAGCACAACACCACCACCAAATACAACAGCGGAGTCGTCGTCGAATCCGACAACGGCCGCTCATTCGCCGTCAAAGTTGACTTTCCCATCTTCCAAACCGATGTCTCCCTCGCCGCGACCTCATCTGCAAGGTCGCTCGGATCCTCCAATCCTCATCATCGAACCCTTTCTTCGACCTCTCCGACTACCTCCAAGACCCGGATTTGTCTCGCCGGATTTCCAAGACCCAGTCATCTCCCTCTTCGCAGAGCTCGTCTCCGCTGGATGCACCGCCACCGAATCTGTCTCGCCGGCACCATCAACATTCTCACAGCCGTCTTCGCTCTCCATCTCCAAACTTGCCATTGCCACTACTCCACCGCCGAGCCGAGCTCTTCACTGCCGAGTTGGAGTTGTCATCTCTCCCACTAATCCACTCGCTACCAAGTCCCGCGAATCCTCCTCCAGTCACCCCTCGCCGGTTCTCTCAAACCCAGATAATCAGTATATATATAGTTCTCACTGCTAATTCAGTCCACCGAGCACGGTTGTGGCCGACGAGCAAGGGTCTTCAGACGACGGCCGACAAGCAAAAGAAGCTTAGCTCGCTCTCTCTCTCCCGGCGACAAGCACTAGTCCTCGCCGTCGCAGCCCTAAACCATGTTGCCGCTTCTGTCGCCTGAAGTTTCCCATAGTCGTCGGCGGCACCACCACCACCATCACCCCATCATCACCGACCACCAACCACCAATCTCTCTATACATTTTCTCTCTCTTCTGCAACACACCACCCACCACCAAAAAAGCCTTAACTTTTGGAACCACCACCCACCACCACCACCACGACGGCCAACAGTTCCATCTACCCAATTGTCGGGATATAATTGTCTTTTAACTAATCTGATATTTTGAAATAAATGTTATTAAAAAAATTGGGGCAAAGTTGTCTTTTCACATGTTTTTAACGGAGGCTGTAACGGAAAATCAAAAATGGACCTAAGCGATAGTTATTTTCGAAAGATATTTTAGACTGATATTTGGCCAAATTATTGGGGGTGTCAGTGAAATTATCCCTATTAAGTAATTAGTTTAGGTGAAATTATCCCTATTAAGTAATTAGTTTAGGAGAAGTAATAACTAATAAGGGCACTTTTGAAAATATATATATATATATGAACCAATTTAGAAACAAAGGTTAAAATTAGGACTTCTTTGTCCAACTTAAAAATATGTAGGACTAAATTGTCTTTGGGCTTGAAAAGTAAGACTAGAGTGGAATTTTCCTTGGTATGAGCTCGGGCCTGACTGAAGCCCGATGGGCTCGGACTGGCCCACAGACTCCGGGTCATTTTTGCACCCTTTAGTTCAAGCACGTCAAAGGGTAATACGAGTGAGTGACAAGTGGGTCATTTTTTGGGCTCCGAGATGTGAACCTCATATCTGGCCCCACCTACTAACCTCACATGGGCAACATTTGATCTTCATGCCGCTCCCTGAAGCAACGCCCCTACTTTAGGAGGTGAGCATCACTTCTCTCCTTAGTGGGTCTTTATTTCATGATTCATTTCATAAAAGATAAATAACTAGATAAATAATTGTAGTAGAACAGGAACAACAAGAATAGAACAGGGATATTTTATTCTATTTTTATAATCTCAATTATATGTATATATTTTTTATAACTGACAAAACTTTTAGTAGAGTAATAAATAAAACTTTATTTTTATAATCTCAGCTATATATATATTTTTTATAATTATTACTTGTGATTAGTCATCAGTCACGCGTAATAATGGTGTGACACTTGTCGTATTTATCTTATAATAAAACGAGTTGGGATAATTTTATAAATTTAATAGTGGGACCCACATAACTTTTAGTACAGTAATAAAAAAAATTTAAGAATCAAGATAACCTCGACAGCTTTTTTTTTGGTTTTTTTTTTCTTCACGTGGGTCATTGTTTTGTGCTCCGAGATATGATGTGAACGCGGCCCCTTCTCTCTTTAATAGGTTTTTAATTCATGATTCATTTCATAAAAAATAAATAAATTGTAGTAATATGAACTAGCTGAGTTAAATAGTTAATGCAATTCCACTTATACCATAACTTTTTAATTCAAATCAAACTTTATTTTTTTACTTTTACATATATATATATATATATATATATATATATATATAATTGCTAACTATCCTCTTTTTTCAATAAGATTGTTTTTTGAGATACTTATCAGGTTTAACGCTAAAAAGAATCAAATTAAGAAATTCTATTTTATAAGACATGATTTTTTATCATATTAACTATATAATTTAACTTAAGGTCGGAAGATGCTGGCAACTGAGCTTCACCAAAACATCAAATGAAATATATTATACCCATTATCAACTTATTTAAAATCAAATCCATAATTTATCTCACGACGATGGAGTTTAAATTAAAAAATTCGATCCTATGATAAACTCAAACTTATTAATATGACAGTGAGGGGAAATATTTTAATATGATAACTTTCTACCTGGTACCTCCAATTAATAATATTCTTTTCCTTTCTATGATTGGTACATTTCTTGATAATGGGTTAAACATTTTATGATTGGATGGGTACTATTTTTCCAAATACATCAGATACCAATATACTCACTCGATAATGAGATAGTGGCATAGAACTTTTTGAAATTTTCTAAAGAAATAATGGTCTCCTTTTGAAAACATAATATTTATTGATTTGGGACTTTTAACATATGAATATAAATCATCCTAATTTTCATAGTCGGGGTAAAATAATATGGAAAATATATATATTTTAATGTACGAATATAATTTGTTTTTCTTTTTTAAAAATTTGGCATAAAAAAATACGAATTTGGATATGTTTCGAATATAATAATTTTATGTTGGTTAAAAATTCGTCATTAAAATTCGATCACATATATATTATTTTTTTTTTTATACTAAAAATAATATAGAAGTATACAATCTTGTATAGAGATGGATGATTCTATGAAGAACTTGTAATGAGAGAGATTGGAAAATATTCTAAAAATACGAGAGAGGTTAAAGCCAACAAAGATAATACTTCCTTGAAAAGATTTCAGAAGTGTAAAGAATTCTTAATAATTCATTGTAATGCACTATTTCATATGAAAGAAAATGCATGTAGATAGATAGAAGTCACATGCTAACAACAAGAGTACAGAGGGAGGAAGATTTTACTCTATTTTCATAATATCAATTATATGCGTATATTTTATATGTATATATATTTTTTAATTAGTACGTGTGATCAGTCATTAAACCGTGTGACAGTCATGTATAACGTTAGTGTCACACGCATAATCAAATGCCTATTTTTATAATCTCAACTATATGTATATATTTTTTATAATTATTACACGCATAACACTGGTGTAACACGCGTAATGTGAGCGGTGATTACACGAGTAATAGAGGAACCGACAAAACTTTTGGTACAGTAGACAAAACTCCGACTTCACGAGTCCTTTTTAACAATTTAACCAATTCCATTAATAACTTCGAATTTTCATCTTCTTATCCAAGTTTAGTGTTATAAATATACAACTTGCTTTATTTTTTTACTTTCAGTCATCTCCAAGAAGGAAGATCACGACCACCCCAAGGTTTGTATAGTCGACTTGCGATGATATTTTCGTGTTGTACATAATAAATTTTTTTTTTTTTCTTCAACGACTTGGGTCTGCATCATGTTTAAATATGTAATTGTAAGACGAAATTAGCAGAATTAATTAGGCCAACAAGTGTTTGATGGGTGTTTAATTAGGAGAACTATTGAGGTGTATGATTGGTTCTAGGTTTGTATTTGTGCCTGTAATTGTTAAATATAGAAGACAGAAGAATATATAATTGACATCATGTTAAATTAAGCACTGCTTCAAAAATATATACATGTATATTCTTTTGTAAAAAAAAATAAAAAATTGAGTGTGGAAGAATGGTATGATTTAGTTTGATAAACTTAATTGTATATATATAATATCAAACTATATCATACCATTCTTCCCCCTCAAAATATATATATATATATATATATATATATATTTGGTTAGGTAAATATTCTCACATACTTAAAGTGAGATTTAATTTACGAATATGGATATGTGTTGGACATAATAATTTTATGTTGTTTAAAAATTTGTCATTAAAATTCGATCACACAAATATTATTTTTCTTTTTTATACTAAAAATAATATAAAAACATACAATCTTGTATAGAGATAAATGATTCTACGAAGAACTTGTAATGAGAGAGATTGGAAAAAATTCTAGAAATACTATAGATATTAAAGCCAGTACTGATAATGCATCCTTGAAAAGATTTCAGAAGTCTAAAGAATTTTTAATCATTCATTGTAATGCACTATTTCATAGGAAAGAAGATGCATATATATGGATAGAAGTCACAGGCTAACAACAACAACACAAGAGGGACATTTTACTCTATTTTTATAATCTCAATTATATGTGTATATTTTATATGTATATATTTTTTATAATGATTACGTGTCGCCAGTCACATGTAAGTTGTAACGTTGGTGTCACACGCATAATGAAACGCGAATTGTGATGATTTTATTAACATGGTATAGAGGGATAGACAAAACTTTTGGTCGAATAGCAAACAAACAATTTTTTGTACGGTAGTAAACAAAACTCTATTTTTATATTTTTTTTAATTATTACACGTGTAATGCTAGTGTAACAGGCGTAATGTAAACGGTGATTAAGCAAGTGGTAGGAGAACCGACAACATTTTTACTACTGTAGACAAAACTCGAGAATCAAGATAACCTCGACCGAATCGACCTCATAAGTTTTTTTAGCAATTTAGCTGATTCCATTTATAACTTCGAGTTTTCATCTTTTTATTAAGGTCCAGGGTTATTTTCTTTTTATACTTTCAGTCGTCTCTATGGAGGAAGATCGCAACCACCCATTCAATGTTAAAAGGTTTTTATAGTTGACTTACAATGATATTTTCGTGTTGTATATAATAATTTTTCTTTTTTCTCAACGACTTGACAATCTGCATCATGTTTAAACATGTAATTGTTAGACGAAATTAGCAGAGTGAATTAGGCCAACGAGTGTTTGATGGGTGCAGAGTTAACTAGGACAACTATTGAGGTGTTTGATTGGTTCTAGGTTTGTATTTGTGCGTGTAGTATATACAATTGACATCATGTTAAATTAACCAGTGTTTCAAAAACATTTAAGCAGTGTTTTAAAAACATATACATGTATATTATTTTGTAAAAAAAATTTGAGTGTGGCACGCATGGTATGATTTAGTTTTATAAACTTAACTATATATATATATATATATTTGGTTAGGTAAATACTCTCACATACTTAAAGCGAGATTTATTTTGAAGATAATCACCGCTCGTGATTTATTATGAGATAATTTCGGTGTTTCATTATAAGATAATCATCACTCGCTTTTCGTTATAAGATAATCACCACTCGCATGTTTTATACTTACTGAATCTTTTATATGAAGATTTAATTTTGAAGCCTCAAATTCACTGTTTTAAATAAGTTTGCTAGTTACCAAGGTCTTGTAACCTAATGATATTTTCTTTAATGGATATTGCCAATGACAATATATATATGTGTGTGTGTGTGATTTTACTAATTTTTGGTGCAACTTTTGTCCATAATTATTATTACGTTTTTTTAGCCCTTTATATATATATATATATGATTTTACTAATTTTTGGTGCAACTTTTGTCCATAATTATTATTACGTTTTTTTAGCCCTTTATATATATATATATATGATTTTACTAATTTTTGGTGCAACTTTTGTCCATAATTATTATTACGTTTTTTTAGCCCTTTGCATTTTCTGCTCTTGCAGAGTCATATTGTTTGTCTTGTTATCATGGATGTATGCGTTCATAGGAATTGTGCATAAATTTGATATTTTTGTTTTTGCAAATATTTTAAATGATTAGTGCAATTTGATGATTAAATAGGACGTAAAGTTTGAAATTCAAATCCTTTGGGTATAACTCCTCCATGTGGTTAGGGAGCCCTTTGAGGTCTAAGCTTTATAAATATAAAATATACTCCATCTTTGATCTTGTGTAGTATAAGTTCTTATCATATTAGTATCTGATACGCGGGCAATGGCCTATTCGATATTAAATTAATATTTTTTAGGGAAATTAAGTTAAATTTATATATAATTACAGAATATATATATATATATATATATATATATATATATAATACTTGGTTAGAAAGAAGGTTCAAAATCGTATACTTAGAATTTAAATAATGCCTAGATGTGGTAGTCGATTATTTTCCAACCTACGATGCTCTATATCTATGTTCTTTGACTACAATTTTCTATCTGTTCCAACTTTTAGATGCTAGAGTGTTTCAGCACTTAAGAATATCATTTGCTTTGATAAATCTTATTATCTTTAATAGTGAAGTCTGAAAATAAATTTAAAATACTCTTTGGTGTTATTATATTCTTGTTTATGGAATAAAAGAGATTATTGAAACATGTTCCTGTTTTTTCTTCTTTTTTCACCATTTTACTTTTGGCCAGCTAACCTAACAAGTATACTGAAACAAAGAAGTGCATTTCAGCACTGATGCTAAACAAGTTTACTTTTGGCCTTCAACTTGTTAGTTTCTATTGTTTTTAACAAAAATTACTGTATTCCAGCAGTTCTTACTGGAACAAGAAAAGAAAATTGGAAGAGGACCAATTGGCCCTGCTTGCATCAAAGCATAAATGCTGTGATCGAAGCTCTGGCTTGGGAGGTAATTTTCTGTCCAACAAAAACGCAGAAGCAGAGGACTTCCATATGTTCATTACCAATGAACAAACTGATGCTCCGGAAATAGGTAATGGATCAGTTCCAGAGGCGGCAAAAGAAATCAACATTTCTGAAGTTACTAAATCTGACCTTACTGAAAAGAAAGATCCTGAATCTGCTTTTTCTGTATCTTGTGGAACCAAAACTGATCCGATGCATGCAAAGACAATGTCACATGAAGGGTCTTCTGTTTCAACTGGTGATTGGGGCGCCACAGTTCCAGGAATCCGGTCTGTTATGTCAACAGCCGATCAGGGACAAAAGTCTCCGACACAGAGGAATCATCCTATACTATCATGCCTAGCCATGATTTTGATCTTAACATGCCTTTGAATTTTGATGGCCACTTCCAGAAATTCGGAAACCATGGAGGTTACAATAGCTCGGAGCATAAAAATGACAGCATTGAGCAACTGGGAGATAAGGAGTCTGCAGATATGCCCTACTGGGATAGGGCGAGCTCGAGCTCGAGTAATTTTGTTCTGTCATCTGGAAGATGGGACGTTAATGAAGGTAATATAGTTTTAGTATGAAAACTATTAAATGCCATAACGCTTGTAATTATCAAATGCTCAACCATCTCATATTTCTTTTTCATATGGGTTATTTCTGCTAGCTAGTATGTTCGTATATCTAGCAAAATTAGTCTTCCTCTCTCTCTTTTCCAGTTATATCTATTACTAATTTGAAAAAGATTGTGATTATTTTGAATGCAGACACTCCACCGGGCCCCAAGAAACTGACCATCGATCAAGAATTCGAGGAGTACTTTTCCATGCTTATGCTAGAGTAGGTTTGTATTGTACGAGTATTTACTTACTACCTTGAATATGTAAGCTTTGTTACTTTCCATCAATGTGTGATGACTTGTTACTTTCCATCAATGTGTGATGACTCTAAGTAGCTTTGGTGGTTCTCTTTCTTCCTTGTAATTTATTGATTTTTATTTTATTTTTTCGGAAAAATCAATTTCATTAACAAAGGAAAACTGTACCCAAAAAAAAAAAAGAAGGCCCAATCCAGGCCAAGAAGCCCAACAGGCCCGAAGGCAAACCAGGAAATTAAAAACAGCCCACCACCAACTGTCCTTTAGACCGTTGCATCAGCAACAATTTGAAAAGAATGATGTTGGGGCAAGGTTCAAATCAACAAAAACAGAGCTTGGGAGACTCCAAGCTGCAGCAATGGCCCTTGAAACTCTTACACATCTTGCAGGAGAGCAGTGGGTTGCGACTTGCGAAGACGGTTGAAGATGAGTCCCAGCACAGTGCCAGGAGAAGCTTGTTTATTTGAGCAGGTACGTCTATTTCTCTCTCTCCATATGAAATAGATGCACCGAATCAATCATAACTTGAACACAATAGCACTGTTAGATTTAGAGCTGTGGTTCCACATAGAAGCAATCCAGTTGGCAATAGCATAGAAGTTAAAATCCCCAGTATGAATACCAAACTTGTGATGGAAAAATTGCCAAATTTGGGATGAAAGTGGGCAATTAAAGAACAATTGAGAATCATTTTCAGGGCTGTCCAGGCATAGAGACAAATAGTTTGGTATGTCCTAATGGGAGCCAGAAATCATGCCATGTACATACATGTATGTCTTTACCATCGCCTACAATGTGTTTGATGAAAGGTCTAGCAAGGACTCACAAGTGAACACATTCTCTAATTCGAAGTGTTCAATTGAGAAGGCTTAAGAATCTAGAAAATTCTATTTAAAATGAGATTATCCTGCACCCAATTATACCAAATGGACAATATGTTGATTTTATTTATTTTCCAGAAATGCAGATTTGTCATATTTGTTTATTGTGGTGGCAGGTTGATAGTAAGAGTGCTACTTTTGACTTTCTGAACGCAAACCGCATGGTATTGTACTCCCATCTATGTGATTCATTCATGATAATTTCAATTTGTATTCTTTTTCTTTGTTCAACAATTTGTTTTTGACAGAGTTGCAGCATGTTTCTGAAATTGATGATTTTCTTGTACTCAGGTTTTTTGAGACTGTTGCTGGTCTTCTTGTTAGGCAGATTTCAGGTAGGTTTATGCCACTAAAACCAATGTGCAAAATCCATGCATACTTATAATTTAGGACTTTCTCAGTTGTGTTTTCTCGTAGAGTATTCCATTTAAGAGCTAGCTCTGTAATGTTTTGATTTCAATACATGAATCTATTTACTAGACTGATAAGGTTCATTAAGTGTATGTGGTGCATTGAAATGTTGTCTAGTTGAAATGAGATCTATTCCATGGACAATTGTTCATGCCATGCTAAGTATTTTGTCACTCACCAATTCTTCCTACATGATTTCTGCAGGATTAGGATATGATTTACTTGAATTGTTATATTGGTTCACTTCACTGTTACTCAACAACTATGCTTATTTTTAGCCAGGTATTTCTTGTAACCTTTGTTGTTGTTAATATTGCTTCATTTGTGACCTCGTCACATGCTATCTTGGAGTCTGATTTCTCCAACTCATTATGAGTTAATTCCTCATTTCCATATAACTCAAATCATTCATAGGAACTATACAATATATATTCTCCTTTCATAGGGACAAGGAGGATAATATTTTTAACTTCTGGGAAAAAAAAGAAGAAGAAGATGATGAATCATAGTCGTAGTTTTGCATTGATTCTGTGTAAAATAGTTAATGTAGATAAGTCCCCTTGAATTGAGTGTAGAAGACAAATCTGAGACATCTGAAAGTAACCAGAGCCTCAATCTAACCCACCTGTCTTGTTAGGATTTATTGCTAGTTAACTTGCACTGATGGCACACTTAAAACAGATTAAGTTACACGTAAAGTAGGTCCAACACCTGATGAAGGACTAAGAAATTAACAAAAATGTTAACTACCAAAAGAAGATTAAGACCCAACATACAATAAGTTCAGCCCCAAACGCCTTTAGATGATTGAGACATTTGAAGTTGTTACTGACAGTAGTTAGAAATCCCCGTCAGACATGCTATTTGTGTCAACATGTAAGGCTGCAAGTTGGGCAGGCCCAACCCAGCCCGGTCCCAACCCGAAGTCGGGTTGGGTTGGACCAACCCGATGTCAAACAAAACTGGGCTCTACCAATAACCCAAACCCAAATGTTTTCAGGTCGGACGGGCTAACCTGTTCAACCCTTTTTCTTTTTCTTTTTTTTAAAGATATACAAATTACATTTGTTTCTTTTCTTAGTTTGAAACATCAATTTTTTTTGACAAATTTTAATTTATTAATATATATATATATATACATATATATTTTCGATTTGATTAAATGGTTAGTATTGTGACTAAAGTATTCAATTATTAATTTTTTTGTGTACTTCCAACTCTAATTTTATTTTAAATATAAAAATAAAAAACTTTTTCTTTTTATTTGTTGAAAAATAAATAAATAAATAAAATAAAAGAAAAAGTTTTTCTTTTTATTTGTTATTAAATCATTTTAAATTATGACAATAATAATAATAATAATTTTTATTTTAAAATTATTATTAAAAAAAAAAAAAAAACCCTAAAACAATACATATGGGAGTAAATCTTAACACAACCAGCTGCTGCCGGAGACCAAATCAAGAGAGGAGAAAGGAGGAAAAGCAGCGACCATCTCGCTGCTATTTCAATAGCGAGATGCTACAAGAAATGCAACCCAAAGGGTTGCTTCCTTATATCAACTCCGGCGACCTATTATCCTTCTTCTCCGGCGACTATTCGGTATAGCGTTCCGGTCACTGCAAGTAGCAGTGACCTGCTGCTTCATCTCTCCTTTTCCGATCAACCAAGTCGCCGGAGGGCGACCTGGTGTGCATCATTGACGGCACACAAAGTCAACATCAGCGACCATCTGCAATCACACACACACACACACACACACACACATATATATATCAAAAACCAATTAGGAATTAGGATACAATACTTCACATATATTACAAGTATAGATACATACTATAGATATCAAAGATTTGGAAGGTAAAAAATAAATAAATAAATTGGAAGTTTTTTTAAATTTTGGGTTTTGGGTTGGGTTTGGGTCGAGTACGAGCCCAACCCGAACACGTATGGGTTTTAAAAAAGCGAAACCCAATTTGAGCCTGATTTGTGAATTTAAAAGCCCACGTCCAAAAATTCCTGGGCTGGGTTCGGGTTGGCCTGGGTTAGCCCGCCCAAGTTGCACCCCTATCAACATATAGTGGAAATTCTTTGATTATAAGCAAAAATGACAAAAATTAAAGAAGGGAAAAAAGTGTCAAGTCAAACAAATTTTTTGGTAGGGTGAAGCCAATATCAAAAAATGTTCATTCATAATGTTAACACATTGGATGTTTATTGTTGAATTGTTTTCCTTTCTCTCAAGCAAGCCACCAAAGTGACAACAATTGGATAGACTTTGCTCTTTCAAATAGGCTCACAACAAATGAACATTGTAATTATAAGTTATGTAAGGGAAAAATAATGGGATGCATACAAAAGAAATCAAAAAATTGTAATGCCAATCCGGACTTTGTGGTCAAAGTCAACACTTTGGAAGATCGGACGGTGGTGGTGGTAACTTTTGATTTGGAAGCAGTCCATCCAATACAATCCAGGCCATCCTCAAACCCCAGCTTGTGTGGACATCAAAGTGGCAGTGCATAAACCATACTCCTGTTGAAAAATGAAAAATAGGTACCAGTTAGCACCAACTCTGTATGCATCGAGTTATTTTTGAACAATTTTGTTCAACTCATTCAATGTCAATTTTGGTTCAACTTATTAAAACTATATCGATTATCAACTTATTTATTGCGAGTCAAATTTGAAAGATTGTAGACTCGACTCGTATGGGTCCAAGAGCCGAATAGAACTGACTCGCAAATAGCTTGACTTGAATAGGAACTCTGCATTTTGAGCCCGTCCTATGTATAAGCTAAGCCTGATGTCACAGACTTGGACCTTTCCAAGCTCACGTGTGGCCTTAGACACGTTCAAGCCCCCTTGAAGTGCTCGGTGCGGGACGTAACACTGAGCTAAGTTCTCAAGCAAATGCATGTCCAAATGCTTTGAGCTCGGTTTAGTTACTAGGATTTGTTTCTAAGTAGTTAGAGAGGTACCTGGATTGTTAGCTAGGAAGCGCACAGCAACCCAACCACCGGATGGGACGCCGACGGTATTCCTCTCGACAGGATCCACCAAATTGAAACTGGCGGGGCCTGTATTCGGATCATAGTTGCCAAACCCTTCGCCGATGACAAAAAAATTGAAGCCATGGAGGTGGAGAGGGTGGCTTTCGGCCCCAAGAATGCTCGTATCCTGCATCACCAGTTCCACACTAGTATTGAATGGCAGCACAACCGCGCGCGTGCCATTACTGACAAAGGTGTTATTTGGTGGCATTCCAGTGTAGTTGAACGGAACAAGCGGGTTTGCTGGAAAATCAGAGGTGTAAACGCCATAAGACTGTTTTAAAAAGTAAGACTGCAAAAGAGCTGTTGATGGAAGAGCAAAGGAGATGTTATTAACTGAAGCTGCAAATTTCGTGCCATTGGGTCCTTGGCAAGTCATGTTTTTTGGGCAGGGATTCGAGCCTAGGCCAATGGTGAAGAAGAATCGCTTGTCCACTGTTTGTGGAACGTTGGCAGGGAATTTAGCACTGGCCAAGCTACGAAATTGTTTGGTGAAATTAGCGACAAAGGTGGTGGCGTTGAGTGGTGGGAGGGTTGGTTTGAAGAGGGGAAGCTTGTTGATGGGACTGTGGTTTGATGGGTTCTTGTATTTGAGGATTCCGGCGACGGTGGAATTGTCAAAGGAGCCGAGGCCGGTGAAGTAAGGTCCGGCAGTCATGAAGAAGGTGGCGTTGGGGGAGAATGGTTTGGTTTTGAGAAGAACATTTGTGGTTTGGCCTGGGGTGATGACAATTACGTCAGTTTGGAAAGGTTTGGTATAAACAGCATCGGCTTCGACGACGGTGACTGTGTGGTTGGCAATGCTGAAGAAGAGCTCGTCGTTCATAGCAGCATTGATCAGACGGAGAAGGTATGTCTTCCCTGGCTTCACTTTCAACTTGAATGTATCTGAAAAAATAAACACATAATAATTAACAAAGATGCGTGAACCAGTGTTGTTGCAAATTGTGTTTTGATTAAGAAGTGTCGATGAGAATTGTGTTTTGATAAAAAAAATTTAAAAAATAAATGTTAGGTGAGAATTGTAAGATGGTCATTGGTTGTAGACAAAATGGCATATTTGAGATGTTTGTTTGTTTATTTTCAAAATTCACATATTTTAGGGTGAACCTTGGTGCATCGGTAAGATTGCTCCACGAGGTCATAGATTCGAAAACACTTTCTCAAACCGCAATGACGGATTGGATCACTAACTTGTCGTGCCATTGTATCCACTGGCTTTGATGGAGTCTCGTGTGTGTGTGTGTGTGTGCGTGTGGTGTATGTGATCCTTATATGATGTAATGATAAAAAATTTAAAGTTTCACAGACATGGTAAAATCAAATGTTAAATATCTTCAATCTATCCGTCCCAAAGGCTTGATTCACTTTCATCAAACCAATGGCGATTTAGCCCTTCAGTTTGTGTTTCTCGGTTTAAAATTTCGGTGTAAATGTCATTTTTTATTAAATATATATATGTATATATCTTGATTAATTTTTTTTTGAAGTGGCCATGCCCTTTTTTGATTGGCCATTGTGCAGTAAAGTCCACTGATCACAGAGCATAGGTATGATTTCAATCCTAAAAGCTACATAGTATGCCATATACTAGTGCATTTCTTTTTCTTTGGATCTCTAAAATACCCTTCTATATACACATATGCACGCCCTTTTAATTAAGTGCTATTATTACTATGATTTACCTTTAGAGGAACAGTTGTACAAGGGCCCCGGAAGGCCATTGATGGTGTAGGCATCTGAAACGTTTGGGCCAGCACCTGTTTGAAGTGCCTGGCTAATTACAGCCTCAGGGTCTACATTCCACCACTCTCCTGCACATACACATAAACAATATATATATATATATGGAAAGCAAAAATATGAACCCAATGTTGAAAAAAAAAAAAAAAAAAAACATGCACAACTATATCAACAACGTCTATTGGTGAAGTGATAGATTAGTCAATGGTTTATGTGCTAATTACCAAAGATAATGGGGACCTCCTTGTAGGGTTTATCAAAAGGGTAAGTTTCATTCTTCTTGGGGAGGATGATGATAGGTCCATGGATGGTTGATCTCAGCCAGGATATGTGAGCATGCCAGAACAGAGTGCCTCTCTGACCGATGATCGTGAAGTTGTACGTGTAAGTCTGGCCGGTTTGTATCGGACATTGTGTTATATATGCCGGTCCATCCGCCCATCCGCTTCTAAGCTGCTGAATACCATGCCTGCACTCATATAATATGATAAAATGATTCATGTATACCCACAAATCAACTCAACGTTTTTTTTTTAATAAATATTTTGAAATTAGCTCCATGTATCTTGTTTTGTCATTCCTATCTATCTATGACAATAACATCATCAGTTATACCGCATATTAGTATCCCTTTACTAACTATAGTTATATTTGTACATGTGTGTGTGATAATTTTGTTCTATCTTAAGGTTGTAGTGAGTATATTGTAAAAAGTAGTTTGATGCATTCCATACCAATGAATGGTTACGTTGTTCGGGACCTGGTTAACCACCTTCACAAGGACTTGATCACCTTCCCTTGCTACAAGCGGCGGACCAGGGTAACGTCCGTTAACGGTTAGAATACTCTTTGTGTTGCACAATCTTGTCACGTTTTTTGACTTGATCTGATATTATCAAAGATATGAAATGATCATGAGTTTATAAAAAAATGTGCCAGAAAAAAATGTTATTAAACTAAAAAATATATCTGCTTGATTACATTACATTGAACGTGTAATGCCTTGTTGTGCCAAACACGATCTCCGGCAACTGCAATAAAACACAAAAACCAAATAGCAGAGCTGTCTTTAAAGTAGATGAATGAAGATGAGAAGAACCCATCTGTGTGTGTTGTGTGTGATTTTGTGATGGGATGATTGAGTAAGATGGTGGAGGCTTAGCTCATAGCCAATGTGTGCAGAGAGACTTGGGATACCCTGTGTGGCCTATGGGGTTAGGCTATATATACACATACGTATATATTTTAATATAGATGATTAGGTAATGAGGTTAATGTCATCATAGAGTTTCTTTTTCACTGTTGTGATATTCACCTTGCATGCTCCGCAATATTGCTGTTGGTCAAGTTGAATTTTAGAGTGTTGATAAAGTAAGATTACTCTCTTTTGGAGTATCTAATCCTGATTACCAAGAGGACTCACTGTCTCAAATGCACATTAAAGCAAGAGATTAATAATCAAACAGAACATAATTAGAGAGTAAAGAATCACCAAATTTGCCTTCATTTAGTAATTAGTAGTTGAGAAAATTAATTGCTTTATTTCTTATGTATTTGTTACTTTCTTTGTGAATTTTGTACTTTTTGGCTCGTGTCAGTTGTCATGATAATCAACTGAGCTAAGCAACCTCAGTTAAACTTTTCTAAGTAAACTCCTATGTTATGTATGTGTAGTCTTTGAAAAATCATTTCAAGCTTTTCTATTTGTGAACTGTGTGAGGTACACGCATGTTCTGTATTACTTGCAGTTTTGTGGGACATGTTATGATTTTGTGTCTGCATGCCTAACAGACATGAAATTGCGCTTCATTTGCTGGACTGATCAGACCACAAAGAAGGTCAGAGCTGTGTTTTCTTGAGTAAAGTGCTTTTTATGGAGGGAAAAGTCATTTTAATAAGCTGAGAAAATCACACCATTAATCCATATTATTGAGGCTTTTTTTCCATTAATCCATATTATTGAGGCTTTTTTTCCTTTTATTTTTTTTATTTTTTTTTTTGGTAGGTAAGAAACTTAAAACCTCCATATTATTGAGGCTTTTTTTTTTGGTAGGCATCATTTTGAATTTAAGAGGAAATGTAACACTTGTCTAGTTAAACTTAAAATGAAAGGAAAAAATGTGTCTAGTTCTTGAATCATTATTAGTTTTTTTCCCAAAGATTAGTTTGCTGCGTCAAAAATGTTTGTTGATTAGGGACAGCAATTTCCTCTGACCCGACGGGTTTTCACCTCGCCCCACCCTTGATGGGGCAGATTTGGTAGCCCCCTAAATGGGTTTGGGGAGAATATGGTAAAATATTTTAACCCCCCCGGGCGTTGGGGGATTATATATGTATCTTTAAAATATATATATATAAATTTTAAGATTCTTGTTACTTTGCTGCAATTGTCAGTTAATTTATTAATATCACTACTTAGTAATTTAAAAGTCGGATCAGTTTATTTATCAATCCAATTTGAGCACATTGAGCTAATTTTTTTTTACTAAATAATAAAAGTAGCATAACTCGCCCCGCCCCCGCAATTAAATGAAGTACGTGGGGGCGTAGTTGGTATTTTGTCTTCCGTAATAGGGGCGGGATGGTATTCCAATTACAAACCGGTCACAGAGTAAGGGCGGAGTCAATACTTTGTCTTCCGCACTAGAGGCGGGGATGGTATTCTAATTACAAACGGAGTAAGGACGGAATTAGTATGACGAATTTTTTAATGGGATGGAATAGGGTTTAGCTAAATTCGTTTCAACCCCGCCCCGTTGCCATTTCTATTGTTGATTGCGATTCTCGTTGACTCAATCCCACGAGAGCTTAACACACATTTTTTAGTTCATTCCTTGGCAATTTGGATTTTGGAGCAGTTAGTTATTTAACATGATATAACATATTCAATGTTATCATATATGGTTAAAAAAAAAAAATTGTTATCATATACGGTTTTATGATTTTTTTTTATTTTTTTTGGGTTTCTAATTTTTATGAGTAATGTTAAAAAGTTGTGACAAAATCGATTATTTTTATGTAAGTATGAATTAACTCGTTAGCCACCCACTCATAAAAAATTTCTGATTTTGAGAGTCCAAATCGTTTTCATTTCTTTTTGTTTTTATTACCATGAAGAGACTGTACAAGGGAGGTGCAACAACTTCATATACCTCTGTTCTTGGCACTTATAATAACTTCGAGACAATTGAACAAACTCTGAGCGGTACGTGGGTTCATGTCCCTTGTATTTGAGTCTCACCATGGGGTCCACTTTATCTAACATATGAGGTTGAACGTTCAACCATTTTCAATAGCACAACTATTGTATTTTAAAATATAATAATCAAAAATGAAATTGTCAGATTTTATTCTCATGACAATTGAAACAAACTATGAGATCATGAGAATCTCTCTCTTAAATATTTAATTCAATCATTCATTGTTACATTAATTACAAATTTATGCAATTAAAAACTTTAACTTTTAAAAATGAATTCATAATACATTGGATTTTTTAAGATCCCTTTTGGAACTATTAGTTACAATTGTGAGTCACGAAAACTTTTAATTTGAGATAGAAGGAGCATAAGTTTTAAAACCTCTAATTTTTTCAAAAGTAATGACAAATTTTAACAAATTCGATGTTGTTTACCCACTAAAAAATAACCCTAATACCAATGTCTTCCCAAATGTAGTAAGTCTCTGGACACATTACAAACTGCAATTTGAAGTAAGTAATGTGGAAAAAATTTTGAATAATGATGAAGTGATGAGACTGCGTAGCTCATAATAGTTACAGAATGAGTCGTGACACCCATAAACTATAATTTATCATTTGAATTACCCCCTATTTGCCTTCATTCCTAATTCTTGGGCTTCAAATGGGCCTCAGCTAGGCCACTCTCCAACTGTTATGTCTTGCCAATTACGGCTTAATCACCAAATTACATTTTCTAATCAACTGCAAAACAATTTTTTTTTTTTTCTTTCAAATGTTAGTAGAGTTCACATCACTGTTTTTTCACATTAGAGGAAGAAAAATATAAATATAAATATATATATATATAATAAAACTCAAGGATATGCAAAAATTAGAGAAAGAGAGAAATCGATAACCAACGACCTTTTAGGACTGACATTTTCTAAAACATCTTTTAGCGAAATCTTTTTCTTGTTGGATTTAGTGAGGAAAAAAAATTTTAAAAGAAAAGGAAAATAATTTAATAATATTTTCTTTTAAATTTTTGTATAAGAATTTATATCTAGTTTAATTAGGGGGTTTATTAAAATTTTCTTTAAAATGAATAAGAACAGAAAAATGAAAAGGCAAATGAGAATGACATGTAAAATGCTCCTCGTATTTTCTGTCTATGTTTTTTTTTAAGAACAATCAATTTAACAAGAGAAAGTGATTTCTTTCATACCCTTAAAAAATCCGAGGACCAATTATAAAAACGATTATGAGATAATTGTAGGTAGGACGAATAGAGTACATATGCTCGTAGTGTATTATGGAGTGTTTTAAGTAGTTCAACGCCATCATAAAAAATGAAAAAATTGGATTAAATACTTTAACACTCCCTTAAGTTTGCCTTTATCATATTATGAACATTACATAAAATATGTTAAGTATCATATTAGAGTCAATTTATATTGTTGGCTTAATCAGCTAAACTGTGTATCATGCCTCAAAATCAATTTCATTTGATTGATTTAAATATATATATATACATATTATATTAATTAATTTCATAATAATTTTATTGGATTAATTTAAGGAAGAAACCAGAAACGAAACTAGATTAGAAACAATAGATGTTGTTACACATCTATTAGAAACAATAATTTGCCCAATCATGATGTATTCCAGATTCTTACACATATGATAGGCGCACTCCTTTGATTCATGGCTTATGTCTAAATTAGAATTATATATCTAATTTAATTTAGATTGATATTTGTATCCAAATTAAAATGACATAATCAGGTGCCAACTTTAGGTGAAAACAATTGAAATAAGATTGTAAGTTGGTCCACTTCGGACAGAACTAGTGTATGACCATTGACCATCATCATGAATATTAAAGATAGAGATCTGTTTGGTTGGTGTGGTTACTATATCCAACTTACTTTCTGGGTGAAAGAGATGGGCCATCCAAACACACCTGTGTCTATCAAATTGTTAATTGGCATTATTATGTCAACACAGCATAACTTTTTCTACTATTATTTCTTTTGTTTAAATCTTTTTATTAAATAAATCTTTTAGATATAAATTTGATATTTAAATTTGCAAACCTAATCCCTGTTTTGAGAAGATTCAAAGCAAATTTGATGTTTTAAATAATTTATCTCTTTTACTATAGCAACATTATTTTATGAATGGATTTGAACTTTTAAATTCCAATACTAACTATTTTGTAAGATCATAACTCTAATTTTTTAGCATTCAAATATAAGTCTTATGTTTTTTCAAATTAAAAAATTTATTAATTTATTATTCATGCTTTGTAGATTACTTTGTTCTAATTTTTTTTTTTTTATATATTTTTTTTTTTCTAAAGATCGTGGATTGAGAATAATAATTATTAGGAATAAAATGCACTATTAATTTTTGTAGGAATCCTTTTTTTTTTTTTTTTTTTTTTGGTCTAGAAATTATTAAACAATAGGCTATTCAGGAGTTAGATAATCAAAAAATGGCTTCCAACATACTCTTAGAATAACTAACAAAAAATGATATGCTAACTTGAATGACAAATGGGTCAGTGGTCTAGCGGTATCAGTTTCTTACTTTCCAAAAGGAGGTCAGGGGCTTCTTCAAGTCTCAAGACATATGTATATAAGTACTAACTAGAAAGGAGGAAGAAGAACAAAAAAAAAAAAAAAAAACCCTTGAATGAAAGTGGAAGCTCATTTTATGAAAAAACATGAGCATGCATGTCTTGAAAAGACAAAAAGAAAAAGAAATAAAAATTCGATGCAAGATATTATTTATTTGTTTTTCTTCTAAGTTGTAAATGAATTACAAATTCAATGCAAGATATTATTTATTTGTGTTTTTTTAATTTATAAGAAACTAATATGGATTTAGGAAAATATTTCAGATTTAAAAATATGTACTCCAATTAAAACTATTGTTACATCAATAGAATTTAAGTTTAAAAATTTGGTAAATTTCACTTATCTTTCTT